GCATTATTCCAGTTTCTAGTACCACTAGGTTTAATCTGGAATATTAACATGACGTACAACAAAGAAATACTCTTGCTTTGATATTAAAGTCCATTGGTTGAAACGTATCTGTATTTTTTATGCTAAATTATTCTTGCCTGTTATTTATTTTTGTTGTAAAAGGATACGAAGTTTCCACGGAGCCTTTTAATCTCGCCCAGCAAACCGGCTCCTTTGAGATTCTGGCGGAGGACAACAACAAGTTTGTGCGTCAGATGGTTCTACAGCAGCCCTTGTTTTGGTGCCACAACCTTGCTGACAAGATGCTGAACAGGAGCTTCGCTGTTATTGGTGATTATAGTTGGTAAGGGACTGAACACAGTGATTGTAGATCCCTGGCGTTCAACATATGTAATCCCTCAGACATACTGTGACGAAAGCACTAAGACAATATACGATGACGAGAGCACCTAGACAGTATTGAATGATGTGATCACCCAGACAGCATACGATGGTGGCAACACCTTGACAGCATGCGATGGTGGCAACACCTTGAGAGCATCCGATGTGGCATCACCTCGACAGCATACGATGATGGCACTACCTTGACAGCATACGATGGTGGCAACACCTTGACAGCATGCGATGGTGGCAACACCTTGACAGCATGCGATGGTGGCAACATCTTGACAGCATACGATGGTGGCAACACCTTGACAGCAACCGATGATGGCAACACCTCGGCAGCATACGATGATGGGAGCACCTGCACAGCATACGATGATGGGATCAGCTTGACAGCATACGATGGTGGCAACATCTTGACAGCATGCGATGGTGGCAACACCTTGACAGCATGCGATGGTGGCAACACCTTGACAACATACGATAGTGGTAACACCTTGACAGCATACGATGATGGCAACACCTCGACAGCATACGATGATGGCAACACCTTGACAGCATACGATGATGACAACACCTTGACAGCATACGATGGTGGCAACACCTTGACAGCATACGATGATGACAACACCTTGACAGCATACGATGGTGGCAACACCTTGACAGCACACAATGGTGGTAGCACCTAGCAACACATATTATGATGACAGCGCCGAGACAGCATACGATAATGGGAGCACATGCACAGCATACGATGATGGGATCACCTAGACAGCATACGATGATGGCAACACCGTGACAGCATACGATGATGGCAACACCTTGACAGCATGCGATGATGGGAGCACCAAGACAGCATACGATGATGGCAACACCTTGACAGCATGCGATGATGGGAGCACCTCGACAGCACACAATGGTGGTAGCACCTAGCAACATACCATGATGACAGCACCAAGACAGCATACGATGATGTGAGGACCTAGGCAGCATACGATGATGACAGCACTTGGACAACATACGTTGACACTTATCTATGTTTCGTCAGACTGTTTCAATGGCTGCTTGTTGTCCCCTGACATGCCTGTGATGTTAGTGTGGATGTTAATGTTGTTACTGATTTAATAATAGGGATCTCGACGTTTCAGGACGAATGTATCCGTCAAGGCCAGCGTCCGCCTCAGTCCAGTTAACGGCACCAAGGGCGTGTTTCTGGCAGCACGGGTGAACCAGGGAGGCTGCGATTCATATGACACTACCGGCATCTTCTTCTACATCTTCCCCGATGACAAGTTCTACATCCTCTCACAGGACATATGTAAGTCTTACATCAAGCTACATGATCTCGCACGAAACCAGTAAACTGTACTTCAAGCTACATGATCTCACACGAAATCAGTAAAGGGTAGGGCCTACTTTAAGGTACATGAACTCACGTGACCTGATAAAGGGTATTTTAAGCTTCATGATCTCACATCTGCAACCCAGCTACATGATCTCACACGACCTCAATAAACTGTACTTCAAGTTAAATGAACTCACATGACCTTTCAAGATATCTGGACGTTTTGCATGAATATAAATAATGTCATTGGTCGTAAATGTATCTACGATATCGTACATGCTCTCTGTGATCTCAACACAATGGAGCGCCAGAAAGAAGATCGATTATTTGTTTATCGCTTTCCCTGTGTTACAGTGAGGACCCAGGTGGTGTCAACAGGACCAGTCAAATCTCATGTTGGCTGGAACACATTCGAGCTGCTAGTTTCGGTACGTTACATTAGGCCTACATGATGTTGAGCCTTTTTAGTCAATGTAGATGGGATGTAGGTGGGATTCTTGCATTTATCTGATATCATCTACAACCACGATCAGATATATGCTCATATTTGTACCATCTGGCGGTCTGCAATTAATCCAGTCTGGACCAGACAATCCAGTGATCAACAGCATGAGCATCGATCTACGCAATCGGGATACGATGACATGTGTCAATCAAGTCAGCGAGCCTGACCATCCGATCCCATTAGTTGCCTCTTACAACAAGCATGGGTTACTGAAGATCAAGTCTAAGCCGGATCTTCACTTATCTGTACATAAAGTATGTAGTGTAAGGCATGATGTATATTACTTAGACCACAGGCAAACTGTAGCGTAAATAGGGTTGCGATGTAATTTTTCTCTCTCTGTTCCGCAACCTTATTTGCGCTTCAGGTTTGCCTGTGCTTGGCCACACCTGTGACGTCACTCTGTTGTAGTGATGATCCATCGATTGTGATTTATTCACATGTGGAATTAGTGATATTATTTCCAGTTTGACAGTCGGGCAAATCATTAATAAGTTTGTCGGAATAAATGTGTCGCCATTCGGGTGAAGTAAACAATCGTAAACAATGACAGCGTAATAGTCGACCTGGGCTTGGGCGACACATAAAAAACTCTTGAAGTGAATCATTTGTAAGTTTGTAAATCCGTACAAACTCAGTAAATATTATCTAGTATATAGTTTGGGCCACACTTTCCAGTGACTGAGCATTGATCTACGTAATTGGGAATGCATCAACCATGTCAGCTGGTCTGACCATCTGATCAAGGTAGTCGCCTCTTGCGATAACCACTGGTTGCTGAAAACTAATTGAAACCCGGATCTTCACGGGTCTGCTAGAATATACTTAAAGTATGTAGTGAAAAAGCATCACGTATAGAACTTAAATAAACCTGTGACGTCACTCTATTGTAAATATTATTATAACTTAAGGTTGTGTTTCATTGTATCACGTGTAATTATCTTCCCAATAAAGTGATTATATAACGGTTTGACAAAAACAACAACAAACAGGGAAACATATAGCCCGAGCACTCTATATCCTAGGACCTTGGTGATATGTACTATAAACGCCCAAGCGAAAGAATGTTCTTAGAAAGCAAGAAGGTGTTTTAGTTATTGTTGTTAAATGCTGCTCAGCTTATAATCTGTCTCACAGTCCCTGAACCACATTATTTCCCTACAGCCTAGCCATCCCTGCTATGCTAAAGCCCCAAATGAACCAAGTTTATATTCCCTCAGTTCTGAATTTCACATCTGACTGGGGTTCCTTTTCAATTTGAATGTGTTTATTTGTTGCTATCAAACTTATATATATGTATTCCGAGACTAAGCGTTAGTCTCCTTGGCTTGGTTCATATAACCAATTTAATAGCATGTTGTATATCGAGGCTTCACATTGAGACACCATTGATGGTGTTGTGGGGCTGGAAGTTCCTTTAAACTTGTTGGTCAGTCTTCCTTCCCCTAAATGCTGTGTACTAAAGCACGTTTTATCATTCACTGTTTTCCAGGGTGAGGGAATGATCGGTTTTGTGAACGAGGAGATGGTGATGGAGGCACGTGCCCCGTCTGTAGCAACCAGTGGGTTCGTCGCCCTAGGTACAGACACTTGGGGACTGGCTGACTTCGACAACCTCCTTATAAAGTTCGCACCGCTACCTTAAGTCTTAACCTCGCTACTGTTGTCTATTGTAATTGATACATATATTATGAATAAAAACGTTGTGTTATTCCGAGAGAACATGTTGTTGGGAGAACATGGTCAGACTAGCTGACTTGGCCGATGTATGTCATCGTCTCGTATACCAATTACGCAGATCAATGCTCATGATGTCAGTCACGTGACTATCTGGTCCAGTTTTGCGGATCCTGGCAGCAAAGGCAGGTGAATCATCACATCAAAATACCAATTGGCAATCAGATTCCCCAAAGCGTTGTCACAAAGGTGTCAAATGTTCAGGTGGTAAAACATTACTTACCACTTACAGCCGTCTGTCTGTCAAGTCCTCCTTACATAACTGAAATCAACAATCCCCTCAAGGAAAGATGGACTGTAGCCATTATGTACATGGAAACCAACTGCCTCTACTGTTTTGTGGAAAAGAGCATCATTCCGGAGGGCAGACGACTGTTCGGTCCTCTGCTGCATCAAAGAAATCATAGGAAGTTACCTGTTGTTACCTTGCCTAATGCTTGACCTTAAGGGGATAAAATCGGGACTGTGTCTGTGTTGGGTATGTAAGTTAAACATTTTATTTCACCTCATTTGGAGTTTCTAAAATGTGAAGTTTTATTTATGAATGTTTGGGTATTTGGCTTATTGTTTAATTTGGCAATATTCCAGCTATATGGCAGCGGTCTGTCAATAATCAAACCTGGAACAGACAATCCAGTGATCAACAGGATGAAAGGACCAAGGGGTGCAATTGATGGTGGCCCGTCTGTCTTCCTATCATGTATGGGGGTGGTGGGACAGCCAAGTGGTTAAAGTGTGCACTCGTTATGCCGAAGACCCGAGTTCGAATCCCCACTTGGGTACAATATGTGAAGCCCATTTCTGGTGTCCCCCACCCCCGTGATATTGCTAACAGCAGGGTAAAACTAAACTCAATCAATCAATCTATGATGTATTGGGACAGCGACCAGGTGCTAGGTTCTGTTACTGCTGTCACCGGAACATCCGATACATCCCACTCACATCACTACCACTTTCTTCTCCAACCAGAAAAAAAAATTCAGTTTGTTCTGGCTCAGCATCGCATGATAAAAAACATAATCTCACTTCTTAGAGTAAATTATTCTTTATTTGGGTAAGAAGAAAATCAATTTAAGGACATGTGTGTAACAAAAAAATAATAACAAATGCATACAATATGCTGTTAGTATAACCATCACATGTGGTTTATCCTTCTTTAACAAAATGCATATATGTACAAAAATAATTTCAGATTTATTTCCACTGATCCATGTTAATTGAATGCTTTTGTGTGTGTCAACCATGTTGTGACAACTCAGGTCTTAGCAGGCACAAATTCACATGATATAATATCGCAGATTTGAATTCTGTACAATGGTTATACATGTATTACATTCACAAACTCCAAACTATAAACAGTCTCATACAGACAAGCTATAAACAGATAAACATGCTTCATATACACCCACTAGAATGTTCAAATGTGATATGAAACAGATGGAATGTTTTTGTATGCTAGAAAACAAATACACCTTGAATATGTGTCACATAAGAATTTTGAAAGTACTGATAATTTAACAGCAAATCAAGTAGCTCCTTTACTTTTTTCTCCTGAATGACACACCAACTGACTACCTGTACCATGGTTGTTACGATTATTCCCCAGTTTGTGTGTGAGAAAACCATTGTAATATCAGCATTTGTGATTTCAGATGCTTTTTATGCTGTAACCATGCCCATCAGGTGTATTTGACCAATCAACAACAGATTTGGCTCATTTCTTTATTTCAGTACAGTTGTGGGCCAGCGACCCCTGGTTACACACAAGTATATAGGTATACGTATTACAGCGATGTACCGGTAGTTCACTTAGCCATAGCGTGGCTAAGCTGAGAGGCATGGTAAATGAAACAAATGAAACAGGCCAAGTTTCTAGCAACAGGTGTCTTAAATTATCAAAATCGATTTGGCATACTTGTGACATTTCTGAAGAACAGTAAATAATGTCATATTTTTGCTTCACCCAAAATACTAGCAACACCCGAGCCTGTGTTGGTGTTTATACTTAGTTTTGGCCCCAAAGAATACTGACAGCCTTGGCATCATAGACATCAACCTGATACATGTCTGTGACAAAAATGCATGAACTATTAATGTCAGTCACCATATACTGGCATAAACTATGACATGTGACATGTCTGGATACACAAGTCAAGTCTGTGGGGTACATAGTACTACATACAAACTCACAATCCCAGACATCCTTAAGTAATTCATGAATATAGGTAAGATCAGTGCAAGGAGTATTTCATCAAGAAAAGACATGTGATGAGATATTGCTCAACAGGCATCATGCTTCTTGTCATAATGAAAATGCACATTTATTAGGGCTGGCTATCAATATGGATCCAAGACATCAATTATCTATAAATCTAGGTGAAATAACACTGAACAAAAATGTAAAACCCATCTCCAAAAAGTTTGTTGATGGTTTCTGCAAGGTTACTAAGTACATGTACAAACAAGTTGTGTATTTTGTCTGTAAAATGTATTTAACGGATTGCATTCCGGTTTTGGCACAAATCCGTTCTAGTAAATTGAAACTTGATTTAATCACAATGGTTCACATAAGATATTACCCATGGCACAACTTTCATAATGAGAACTGATGCAAGATATTGATAATCTTTAATAATTCTTCCCATTTACAATACTACCGATATTTGATTTTGTCAACCAGCCCATATATTTATGCAATGATCAGAAAATGCTATTGAAAGTTATGACAATGAAAACCAAAGTCAGCTTCTGATGTTCTCAATACATCCCCATCAGTTATACTAGTTAGGCCTTAATATAAATGTTGTGGTTCCGATTACCTGACCAACCGTTAATTCTGGTGCCGACCCTATTTTTTAAAGTGGTATGAATAAGCATTCTGATACCATTGTTTTATCCCGATACCGACGAACATCAGTCATTCTGACCGAGAAAATCAACATGAAGGCTGAAAGCTTGATTGAATAACAATTACACATTGATAAATGTGTTATTAGTTTGTACTTTACTTTAAAAAAAAAATGTTAAAAAACCCCAAATCCTACCTACCCTAAATTTTAAAGATGTGTAATCAGAACAACATTTTCATTATTTGGCCTTAAGGCTCACACCCATAAAAAAATACATACTTAGAAAAAGTTGTTGCCCTCATTTTGATAATCATTTCATTCCGTGAATCAACTCTTATGTACAGCTATATGTAAGTGCCATCAGTGAGCCCCAGGGACAAAATATAACTTTGCATCCTCTTTTTTCACATGGTGTAAATGATGCAGTTGATCCTCTGCAGATGTTATTTTGAGATTGTCAAAGTCGGCGATGCCCCAAGAATCGGTTCCGAGTCCGACAAATCCACTTGCAGGTTTGCTGGGTACAGTGTGGTTAAACAGGGTTTTCCCATTCAACATTCCAACAGCAACTGTGCCCTGGAAACAAAAAATGACATTTTAATGAGTCCATGTGGATTATCTAAGTTCCGCAGCATTGTGAAGGTTACTAGGCAACAAGCAGTAAAGGACTGACTGACTGTCTGAGTTTGGTTTTACGCCGCTTTTAGCAATATTCCAGCAACATCACGGTGGGGGACACCAGAAATGGGCTTCACACATTGTACCCCATTCTCTTCCCACAGAGGTTACTTGTCAAATCTTCCTACGAACCTCTGTTCTAATACGGCCCTTTCATGGTGCGAGTGTTCAGGATTCGTGATTGGTTGCAATCAGATTTAGTTGTGCAATCAGCGACAAAAGTGATCATTCCCAAGTCCTTGGTAATTTCCGTAAGCTTCTGGAAAACTAGAATCTCTTCGCCTGCGAGATGCGCAAATGTTTCTTCTAGACAGAACTCAGTAATGTAATGCTGGATCACATGGCGTCTCCATCGCCCTCGTTGACAACGGACAAGCTGGCCATTAAATGTCTTGTGTGTCACATTAACACAAGTCCCCGGCAGAGGAGGGATATTTGTGGCCCCATTTTTACTTGCATTAGTCAAGTCGGATCTAAGTCGATGTAACACATGTTCTGATTGGATAGAAAGAAGGAGATAATTCATATTGCGATTTTTTGCCGCTAGGGGATTTTACGAGAACCGGGAAATATGGCCGTATTAGAACAGAGGTTCGTAGGAAGATTTGACAAGTAACCTCTGTGGGAAGAGAATGATTGTACCCATGTGGGGATTCGAACCCGGGTTTTCGGTGTGACGAGCCAATGCTTTAACCACAAGGCTACCCCACCGCCCCCAGCAGTAAAGGAAGGCATGACTCAGGACCATTAGCAATCCTCGCTATTTGTACTCCATACAATCGAAACTCTCCTAATTTGTCTGTTCAGTCAAATCACATGATGTGCCCCAATCCTGAATCTATATCACCCCTTGTTAATGACAATTTTCAAATTAATCAACAGATTTCTACACATGCTGACTGTTTAATTGACACTCCTGTGAGGAATGCCCACTTGTTTTACTCTCTACTTCTTGTAGTTGTTTAGCGACACCACTATACAGTGGAAGGAGTGAAAAATGAGGACTTTTCATCTTTAGATGATCTAAATATTTAGACTGTGGGTCACGCAAGGCATACATATAAAACATTTCAGCATCATGAATCTACAGTTTACTGAGATCGTGTGGGGATACAGTGAGTGAGTGAGTGAGTTTAGTTTTACGCCGCATTTAGCAATATTCCAGCAAAATCACAGTGGGGGACCCCATAAAGGAGCTTCACACTTGTACCCATGTGGGGAATCAAACCCAGGCCTTCAGCATGACGAGTGAATGCTTTAACCACTAGGCTACCCCATCGCCCTGGGAATACAGTACATATAAACCAGGGTATGTGTGACAGGACACACAGCTGCCACACAGTACAGTGAACATCAGAGTGACATACCTTGACCATGAGTGACGCATCCTTGACCATGAGTGACACCTTGTTCCAGCTGGACTCCACCTCGCCCAGCTGACCGCTGGTGATGACCGATGTTCGACCTGCAGTCGGGAAGTAATAGAAATGAGTGAAAATGATAGTGTTAAAAATTCTTTTTAAACATCTATTCACATAACAAGCAAAGGAAAACATGTTATAAAATCATAATGTCAGTACGTTATTGCACTAATTCCTTTGTAGTTGATAAATATGTTTGTATGTAGTATTTCTAATGAGCATTGATGATATATTTACGAAGAATATTTTGACATTTCTTTCATCAGCATCAGCAGTGTGTAATATGCGACAATGTTCCTAATGGACCAGTAAAGATCCGGGTTAGAATATTGGCTTTCGCTAAGCCATGCTTGTCGTAAGAGGCGACTAACAGGATAGGGTTGTCAGGCTTGCTGACTTGGTTGACATATGTCTATGGTTCCCAATTGCGTAGATCGATGCTCATGCTGTTGATCACCGGATTGCCTAGTCCAGTCTCGATTGTTTACAGACTGCCATCATATAGCTGGAATATGGCTGAGTCTGAAGGAGTCCAACCAATGGTTGATACCATGAAAAACAATCCCTGCTCAATGGGACCGATGTTACACAACCAGCCAGTATACAGATTGCTACACTGGATTACAATTAACCCCATCTTATTAACAAACTTGAGTTACTCGTTACATACAAAGCTCATGATCCAGACAGAGTAAAGAGACGGGGAATCTTGGCCATGAACTCACCTAGGTTATTGGCCAAAATGTAGTTGTTTTTTTTGGGGAAGATATACAGGAATATTCCTGTGGAGGAGAAGGCATTACAGCCTCCCTGGTCCACTCGGGCAGCTACGAACACGCCGTTGGTTCCATTGACCTCGCCCAGTTTGACGTCAACCTCAGCATAGATGTCAGTCCTGCAGAGACCATCATCAATACCCACATGACATGGTGTGAAGCATCAGTTTACTTACATCAAGTAACTTCATAAACATACCTGAACTATATATATCCACATAGCATAATCAAATGAAATAATGGAAGGGAACTATTAGCAAAATAGCAATATTCACATTCAAATGAAAAAATTCTTACTAAGGGACCGTTCATAATTCATGCCTGGGGTGGGGGAAAAAAAAAGAAGAGCATGTACAATTTGAATGACCCCCTACAATTTATGTATAAAATAAGTACCCCCTGCATGTCATGTACAAAATCAATGACCCCCCCTTCCCATAATTTTTAAGCATAATTTTAAACATATTTTTATGTACAAAATTACTGACCCCTAGCTCGAACAAAAATGGGTGGAACCCCCTGCCCCCCAAATCATCATCACCCCCTAGCCATAAATTATGAGCGATCCCTAACTATAAAACTCAAAGCACTTTTGGAGAGTTTTAATTGTCAAATGACCTTCACATGTAAATGTTCAGGAAAATACAGAAGATAACAGGTCTGCTCCCTTATTGATAACCATCTGAATAGAACATGCTTTTTCATCAGTGTGACGTTAAAAGATTTATATTTTTGAATGATATCACAATAATGTAATTTAAGGCAAAGCTTTTCTTCCCTTTCTTTAGGTTCACAATGCACAAACTAAATCTTACTATCTAAATCACTGGTTTCATGTGAAATATTAGACATCTACATACTCATTTCAGTTGAAACTTAATTAAATACTGGCACATCTAGATAAATGACAAAACATGTACACATACTGCAGATTCACTTCAGCAACCAGTGACATGCAACAATAAATGTTCGGCCTAAGAATAGATAAAACATAGTGCTACCTCCACAACTGTTAAACTACAAGAGTGATCAATAGATGACAAATCCCTTCGGCCCCAAAAGATTTGAAAGAATAAATCGTCTGACAGTTACTTAAAGTCTAAGTTGATGATAAAATTTCTTTCTAATCTGTCCGCCTGTATACAAGAGAAGATATTGAGCTGTCAAAACAATAACTATGAAATGGGATTCGTAACTTTGTATTTCTTATGTCAGGTACACACAAATATCAATGTCAAAGGAAAAAAGGCACCACTTCCACCCTTGGTTAATACATGTGCAAGGTTTGGATGAAAAATCTTTGATGGTTTTCCAGTTGATCTCTGGAAACAAAATGCACCCCTTTTTGAGACCAAGTCCAAATTGTTCCCATGGAAATCGAAAAAAATAAAATACCAAAATAAATGACAATCGTAAAACCACTTTAGGTTTTCCCTGATGTATCAACCAATTTCTGTTGAAAAATATTGATTGCCTTTTTACGTATGCTCCGATGAAATGATTATGAAAGGACAGACAAGGCATTCACTATATTGTATATTGTATTCAGACTTCTTAAAAGAGACGTTTCCAAGCATCTCAATGACAAACATCAAATAAAACTATGCAGATGACAAACTTTATGGATGATCAACTTCTTTATTTTGACAATGGCGACGTTTTGGTATAGATTCATATGCTGTGTTCAAGCATATGTATAACGGTATAAGAATCTATACCGAAACATCGCCATTGTCAAAATAAAGAAGTTGATAATCTATAAAGTTTTGTCATCTCTATACCACCAACTTCTAGAATGCCACTCAAACAAAATAAAACTATGCACCAAACCAAATGACATTAAGTCAGTACAAAAAAGGAATTTACGCAGTAAATGTCAATCACAAAACACTGCAGGGCGACAGCTGTAACTGGCATTGTAAGCGTTTCGTCTATAGTTTGATATAATGAAAAAGGTTGATCTGACACAAAATGTTTTCAGTTCGACAAGCAACCTGGCAAGATTTTTCAAACCACAATGACCCTCTTCAGAAACCTTACAATCTCAGTTCTCCACCTTGATGATACAGAGCTCCAGATAAGATTTACCTCATGTGGGTACTGTACCCACTGTATTTTTTTGGAGTGGGTTTTATGAATGTTGAGTGGGTATTTCATTTTCCGTTACCCACTGCTTCAAATATGTGCGTATTTCAGTCATTTTACTCACCTAAGTATTATGTGACTGAGTAAGTTTACTAAGCAGGTATGTTCTGCCTTATCTCATACCTAATGAAAACCAACTTAAATATAATGGAAATGATTTCATAAAAAATCACTCATCCTATACTGACAGTACAACACTTGTCCTATACTAACAGTTCAACTTGATAGCAATCGATGTCTTTTTCATTACGCAAGCAATTTTTATAAATATATTCCGTACGCATTTGTTTTAAACTATTTGCGTATCTAACATTTTTAATGCGTAATTGGTACGCAACAATTATTTTTCAATGCGTAATTGGAAATTTTATATAAGTGTTTTACCCAGATACGTAGCTTATCTCACTCATGACCAATGATCTGACAAGTCATGTACAGCAATTCTTTTGAGTAATTGTAGGTTTTTCAATCCATGATCTTGGAGATGACGTTGACCCTTGACATTACAATTATTGTGTCACATATATTTCCATCGGCTGCTATCTCCCAGCCACTTAATGATTTCAAGTACATAGTGTGCTGGTAGGTAAATTCCAGCACAACCTTAAAACATTTACCTGAGTGTTGGGTGGCTGGGTGGAACCTTAAAACATTTACCTGAGTGTTGGGTGGCTGGGTGGTTGGGGAGGAAAGATGGTGAGGGGAGCTTAGTGACAAAAAGGTTCAGTACATATTTCATATACTTTTTCTTGCACTTAGAACTATGTGAATGAAACAGGTTACGTGCAGACGTGTTACGTACAGACAGGCTATTCCTGTGAGCATGTCCATTCAACAGAAAGATGGTATTCTCCAACAACCATGGCATGATCCAGAGCTGTAGTGAGTGAGTAGATATGGTTTCATGCTGTCTTTATCGGTACTGCAGTGCTATCATGGTGGGGTACATAGCTACAGTTAGTAAGGTATGTTATGATAGGCATGATACCACTTGATTGATGTTAAACTGTATGGTTCAACCCATGCTCTTCCCACAGAGGTTACTTGTCATATCTCCCTACGAACCTCTGTTCTAATATGGCCATATTTTCCGGTACTCGTAAAATCCCCTAGCGGCAAAAAATCACAACATGAAGTATCTCCCTTCTTTCTATCCAATCTGAACACGTAATACATTGACTTAGATCCAACTTGACTAAGATCCAAATATCCCTCCCCTGTCGGGGACTTGTGTTGATTTGACACACAAGACATTTAATGGCTAGCTTGACCGTTGTCAACGAGGGCGATAGAGACGCCATTGATCCGCTATTACGTGACTGAGTTCCGTCTAGAAGAAATGTTCACGCATCTCGCAGGGGACGAGGTTCAAGTTTTCCTGAACCATAAGGAAAAAACCGAGCCCTTGCGAATGATCACTTTTGAAATGTCGCTGATTGCACAACTAAATCTGATTGCAACCAATCATGAATCCTGAACACTCGCACCACAAAAGGGCTGTATTAGAACAGAGGTTCGTAGGAAGGTATGACAAGTAACCTCTGTGGGAAGAGAACGGGTTCAACCTCACAAGTGTTCAACCTTCACACTCAGGCCAACTCCTATGTCAGTTCATCTAGTCATTTTCAACTCTCCCAGTGTGCAGTCACAGTCACAGAATTAGTCCTACTACAGATACTTCCTTCAGTTAGAACTGCCGTAGAGTAACTGCCATAGTAAGAAAATACATCTTGCTCAAGAATATCCCTTCACTTTCACACATACTGTAAAAACATGCACGCACCAGTTGGAGTTCCCCCCTATGGTAATGGGAAAGTCTAGGTTTATGGGGCACCATTCAATGGGTGCGGAGAGTACGACTTGTCTCATCACTTGACGGTGGGTAGGGTCAGAGGTATTGTGGACTTCAAAGCACCCGACTTGTGGTACCAGGTTGAAGGGTTCTTCCTGCTCGCGGTATGCTGGGGAGACAAACAGACATCGCACTTACCATCAGGTAGGACAATCTTACTGCCACAATCATCATAACCCTACAGTGAAGGATAGTACTTAGGGTCACCTTACGCTAAGATTGTTTTGTGTCAGCATGCCGAAACATAATGGTCATGAGTGTGAGTGAGTGAGTGAGTGAGTGAGTGAGTGAGTGAGGTTTTACTCCGCTTTTAGCAATAATTCAGCAATATCATTGCAGCGAACACCAGAAATGGGCTTCACAGATTGTACCTGTGTGGGGAATCCAACCTGAGTCTTCCACTTGACGAGCAAAGCTTAAACCACAAGGCTACCCCACCTCCCCTAATCTTTGTACGAAGGGTGTGAGGTCTGACAGGTGAAGTTGTATTGAAGAACAGTGTGTGTACATCAACTTCTGTGAGAGCACAATGGTTGCTTGTCAAGCATCAGTAGTAGAACAGGGTACAAAGCAAAGCACTCTCTTACCCAGAGTTCTGTGTGGCAAGCCAGCATAGTACCTCTGCCACAGGCCAGAAAAATGTGACGATTTGTCACATCTTGCAATGTCCATTCAATATAATGTACAGATTTCTTTTACTCTTTTATTTTTGACGAGTCTACACATCTAATTAAACATCTTTAATAGAATAGTTTAGTTTCACTGAGAAAATATAAAAAAACGTGTAACACTATTTCGATTTGCGAAGCGATCCTTTGTTTACATAGGTTATACGGCTCCACGTGCTGTCATCAAAGCTGATGGAGAGCAAACGATGCAGCCAGTTTGATATCTAAATATGTACTGTCATAGACCTAACTGTCGCAGTTGTGGAAGAATATATATGTAACAATGTAAAACATTATGAAGAGAGCGCCGAAAAGCTTTCATGTGTCCAGTCTCTTCTTCTTATGAATATGCGCGTTTGTTTACAAACAAGAGAAAAGTCCGGTCACGTGATATGCAAATTAGCCTGTGGCAGTGATGTTATGTTAGTCATCGCTGTGCCGGAGTGTGAAAGCAAAGGTGACATGGAGGTTAAGGTCATACTGTGAAACTAACATGAATCAAACTGTTAACATTAGTCAGCGAAATGAAATCATGCAAATCAACAGAGACATGTGACAATTGTGGAAGAGACAAGTGCCTATTACTGTTGAAAAGCATGGCATATTCAGAAATGAACTCTCTGGACGACGTTTGATACAGACATTGCCTTACATGCAAATTAAATGAAGCACACATAAAATGTTCCTGCCTGAATTTCCCTGGATCATATTTAAGCACAAAATATGCTGTTTAGTTGCCTTTACTGTATGTCATTTATTGAAACAAATAAATTCAGTTCATATTTTATTCTGAAAATCCTCATAATAGGAGGTAAATGTATACTAACAGAAGCTGACTTACTTAGATAACTGGCTCAGTAAATAAATACAGCATTCAAATGACATTTGTCAGCATGCATTGCAATAGGATTGTTGAGCTATGGGTCCTTTATCTGTTTCTGAACTTCAGAACAACAGAGCTTGTCATGCATGCTCTGGTCCTTGTACATCTCCCCTCATACAACAGACTCAACAGGTGCATCAGTAACAACACATCAGTAACAAGTTGATCAAATTCTCAAAACATAATACGAATTCCACAAAACAGAAGGTCAAGTTCTGTTTATTTTCCATGCAAATTTCACTAGTATCAAAATAATCACAATTCAGTAAGCATTAAACACACTACATATTATGCACAAATTCTTGTAAACACCAGTTTATTGTCATGGTTGTTGATTGTTGTGAACAGCCTGTCTACAGATTGTTGTGAAGACCCTGTCTACAAATTGTTGTGAACACCCTGGCTACAGATTGATGTGAACACCTTGTCTACCAACTGTCGTGATCACCCTGTCTACAAATTGTTTGAAACACCCTGTCTACAAATTGTTTGGAAACACCCTGTCTACAAATTGTTGTGAACACCCTGGCTACAGATTGATGTGAACACCTTGTCTACCAACTGTCGTGATCACCCTGTCTACAAATTGTTGGAAACACCCTGTCTACAGATTGTTGTGAACACCCTGTCTACAGATTGTTGTGAAGACCCTGGCTACAGATTGATGTGAACACGCTGTCTACATATTGCTGTGAACACCCTGTCTACAGATTGATGTGAACACCTTGTCTACCAACTGTCGTGAACAACCTGTCTACAGATTGTTGGAAACACCCTGTCTACAGATTGTTGTGAACACCCTGTCTACAGATTGTTGTGAACACCCTGTCTACAGATTGTTGTGAACACCCTGTCTACAGATTGTTGTGAAGACCCTGTCTACCAACCGTCGTGAACACCCTGTCTACCAACTGTCGTGAACACACTCTCTACAGATTGTCATGAACACCCTGGCTACAGATTGATGTGAACACCCTGTCTACAAATTGTTGTGAACACCTTGTCTACATATTCTCATGAACACCCTGGCTACAGGCAGTTGTGAACACCCTGGCTACATATTCTCATGAACACCCTGGCTACAGATTGTTGTAAACACCCTGTCTACAGATTGTTGTGAAGACTGTCTACAGACAGTTGTGAACACCCTGTCTACAGATTGTCATTAACACCCTGGCTACAGATTGTTGTGAACACCCTGGCTACATATTTTCATGAACACCCTGGCTACAGATTGTCATGAACACCCTGGCTACAGATTGTTGTGAAAACCCTGGCTACATATTCTCATGAACACCCTGGCTACAGATTGTCGTGAACACCCTGTCTACAGATTGCTGTGAACACCCTGGCTACAGATTGTCATGAACACACTGGCTACAGATTGTCATGGACACCCTGGCTACAGATTGTCATGAACACCCTGGCTACAGATTGTCATGAACACCCTGGTTGCTGAAGAGAGCCTGGCACTGTATCCTTCTTACCAGTTGTGAGAGCCAATGACATTTAGTGATATCTTCAGGCTCTCAGCTTGACACCACACCACAGGCTGAGCTAACACTTTCTGCCTCATCACCTTGTTGGAGGCATCATCCTGTGCAACCTCAAACACCCCCATTTGCTGAGCAAGGTCGTAAGGCTCCATAAAGATCTCATAGCCTAAACAATAGTAGGAAGAGTAGAAGAGGGGTTCACATGTAAACCGGTGTATGGCACACTCAATGAGACACAATGGCAATGGGGAATTATTTTGGAAGCTGTAAGGAAGACAATTTAAGCATGCATATCAAAGCACACATAGCATGCAGGTTAAAATTCAGGATCAGGACAGGGACAGCACCTTCAACACTGGACAGGAGTATTCACCAGTAAGCGAGGTGGGATTTACGCCGCTTGGAACAGTATCTCAGTCAGCTAGGCAGGAGGAAAGTAGAAATAGCGAGTATTGTTTCATGCCACTTTGAGCAGCAATATCATGGCCGGGGACACCAGAACTGGGCTTCACACACTGTACCCATGTGGGGAATTGAACCCGTGTTTTCATTGTGACCAGCGAACACTTTAACCACTGGACCACCCCACCGCCCAGGAAAGCCAGGAGTGAAGCCAGTCCTAGGTGTTTACAGCATTGCTGAAACCTACAGGCACAGGTATGGTGGTTAGCAACTAACAGCCATAAACAGGCTGAACTTAGCATTCAACCTATCATCATTTCATCCTGGCATATGAAAGGGACACAACACTGTAAACAAACAGCAGCACACCTCAGATGTTCAAAGAAACCATTCCCCAGTCATTATCAAACATAAGGTACAGTGAAGAAAAAGGTTTTAACCGCTGTGATTCAGCTGAAGTTTAACACTAGAATCTATAAAATGATAATATGCCATGTAAAATAAGATCATGTGAGCGCGAAAGACACAGAAGTGATAAAATTACTTCAAGTACTAGACAGTGTAAGGTAATGCTTCCTGAGTTATAGATCCGACTCTTCATTTACTATAATAGTCTTCGCTAGAACATTCTGTCTTTGTACTGTTACAATGCTTTATAAAAGGGTTCACTGAGAGTGACAAGTATCATTGTGCTACCATACAAAATGTAAATATGAAACAGAAATATTCATGAAATTGTGACACGAATTTGTTATGAACCAGTTGCAGTTAATGAAACCAAATTCAACTAATAGTTCAAGATGAAGTCGTTAGTTACCATGGTTACATAACAGAAATAAGATCTACCTTCAAAGTCTTCTGTGTAGGGGAGGGGGAAGGGCTTGGAGGCAGGTGGGGCATTGTCAAATGTCCCCTTCTGCCCGACTTCAAGTGTTGTCAGAGTGTAGATTTCATCTGGGTTCACCTTGAGAGATGCCTTGCCGTTCACAATCTGCAGGTAAAACCGTCATGACACAACATACAATTTCATGTTCTACAAGACCAAGCTGTAAAATTTATCTTTTGACACTGACAGGAATTAACTGTTTACTGCCATATGGCAATAAAACCATGGCAACACAAACCTAAGAGTAATGTACATGCGAATCATACTTGCATTTCCTTTAAAATTGAAAATGTACAAATCCAATACAACCACATAAAATTTGCTTCATAATAACTCATTGGAAAGGCATCAGTAGTCAGAATATTAATCAAAGGTTAAAAACTAAAATTGTAACAAAGGGAGGTAACTCCAGATTGGACTGGCATGTTTGTGATGTCATCATGTCATTAAAACTTCAACAATAGGCTGAGTATGGTTTTACGCCGTTTTTAGCAATATTCCAGCAATATCATGGCGGGGGACAGCAGAAATGGGCTTCACAAGTTGTACCCATGTGGGGAATCGAACTGGGCCTTCGGCATGACAAGCGAACGCTTTAACCACTAGGCTACCCCACCGCCCCTTCAACAATAGGAGTGCCACCCAGAAAATCTTGCAGTACACAGACAGAAGCTTGGGTTCAATATTTCAATGTACCAGTTCCACTTCCCAATAAGACCATCATCCATAGAAGTTGTGATTGAACTGAAATATGGCTTGAGAGATGGGAGTGAGTTTAGTTTTAAGCCGCTTTTAGCAATATTCCAGCAATATCACACATTGTGCCCATGTGGGGAATTGAACTTGGATCTTCAGCGTGACGAAGCCAAGTATAAAAAATGCCGTGTTTCAGATTACACCTCTTTAAAATTTAGGGTAGGTAGGTAGGATATTTCTTTTTACATTTTCTTTTAGATGTAAAAGTACAAACTATTAACACATTTATCAATGTATAAGTGTTTATTCAATCAAGCTTACGGCCTTCATGTTGACACTATCTATCAGAATGACTGATGCCTGTCGGTGCCAGGGAAAAAACAATGGTATCTGAAAGCTTATTATATTCATACCGCTTAAAAGAGATAAGGTCGGCACCAGAATTCAAGGGTCAGTTGGGTAATCGGAACCACTTTTTATTGGGTGTGTGTGTGTGTGGTGTGTGTGTGTGCTGGGGGCTGAGTGAATGTTTTAACCACTAGGTTCCCCCACCGCCCCTGAGAGATGGGAAATAAACAGGATGAATTTCACTGCTGGTGTGTTTATATGGTGAGTGGGGAGTTTTATTGTAAGATTACAGTTTCACTGTCTCAGTCTGAGCTTACAACCCCTCAAGTGGACATGCATGTTTGAGACCGGGGAATGTAAACAGATGCTGACCGAGAGTTTGTTCTGTTTCATGAAGAACACGTCTGCTTCATTTCCGTAGCTGGGCTTGCTGTACCACACATTGAGAGAAGTCAGAGCTGCCTGTAACAGAGAACAGAGTACACTTCCTTCAGCTGGACCAGTCCTACATCCTGACACCTGTGTAGAATTCTTCCCCACTGTCCCGTTCTAACACCTAAACACTGAGGTGGTTTCTTGATACAAATACTGACGACTAAAACCTCTCTAGGATGCTGCTTAATTGTAAATGTGGTGTGAGCTGATAATATTTACTCTGCCCTGGACTACAACTCAGTAAGAATCCCTTTATTAAATCAATTATATCCCTGTATTCTCTTTTTTTCATGTTCACAAGTAGTCATGTTCGATCTAAAGAATGAGCTAAGCATTCATGTCAAGTAATAATGAAATTAAGTTTGGTATTCAGGTCCCACATATTCTGGTACAAAAACATAGAACTCAAACACAACTAAAAACTGAATCCATTATTTGTGTGATACAAAAACTTCAACATCACAGCACGCAATTCAAACATGCTTCTATGTATATTACCCATACTTTTCATTAACTAAAAAACCCTGTGCATGCATAAAAAGTTCCAAATAAAATGTAAAATTTGAAAAAGGCATTTCAGAGGTTCTTACCGAAACCGTCACCGAGTCCACACTAGTTCAACATCTATGATAAGTGTTCACACTGACGCGACCAACTTACGAAACTGGAATTAAAATGCATGACGATCTCTGTAGCTGTGACTTTGAATGGCACTATGGGAGGTCGGATACAATACGAGTGGCTAAATGTCTGTCATAAAATAGAAAAAGTTAGTGACAACATTATACAAGAAGGTGACACAGTAATGACGGATGACACCACACAAGATACAAGTGAGTGAGTGATTGAGTTTAGTTTTACGCAGCTTATATCAGCAATATCACGGCGGGGAACACCAGAAATGGGCTCCACATACTGTGACAATGTGGTGAATCGAACCCAGGTCTTCGGCGTTATGAGCGAAAGCTTTAACCACTAGGCTACCCCTCCGCCCCCCTACAAGGGGCATAATGGCATTACCATATCGGATATCAAGTTGTGGACTAACTACAAGCCTACACAAGCTCCATTCACTTTCATGTCCCTGTTAAAGACACCATGTGATCCCAGACAGATAACTCTCAAGACCAGGTACCAGTTATGACAGTTGCGGTCCATGTTTGGTCGAAATCACTATTCTCTAAAACAGTCTGTGATGGACACGCTCAATTACAGCATAAATCATGTTCATTAATTTCCTAGGAAATGAATAAGAATATGAATATGTTTTGATGCAAGAGAGGAAAACACACTCCATGCGGATGAGTGTCAAGTGATGAAGGAGACCTACTTCTTCATTTTTCATGCTAAAAATCTCAAAATAGTTTTAGTTTGTAGATCACATTTTCCATGAAAAAAATATAGGTTCTATGTAAAAACATATTCTGATCTTGCAATGCTGTGCTAACATTTCTGTTTAGACCCCTGACATATTGGCACTAGCTGTATCTACTTGAGGGGTGGTGGGGTAGCCGAGTTGTTAAAGTGTTTGCTCATCACGCCGAAAACCCGGGTTCGAGTCCCCACATGGGTAAAATATGTGAAGTCCATTTCTGGTGTCTCCCGACATGACATTGCTAAAGCGGCTTAAAACTAAACTGTATCCTCTTGATGAAGCATTAAGTTGAAATATGTCAGTGTCTGTGTGGAATCATGAGCCAGTACCTTCTCACCTTCATCAGATCAATCACTTACAAAGCTGCCCTTGAACTCAATTTCCACTGTGGCGGGAGTCACATTGTAAGGAGGGAGAGCCGGACGAATGCACAGGGAGTGGTCATGACTCTGACAACACAAGACTTCACATGACAGCCAGACATAGCAACTAGGGGTGACCACTGAGGGGGAAACAAGTACAGTGAAACCTGTCAAAACTGGCACCCTACAGGACCAATATATAATGCCGGTTTAGACAGGGTGCCGGATTAGACAGGTGCCGAGTTTCACTGTATTGCGATAATGATAGTCTATTGCAACATACTATTGGAGTAGTTTTTTCTGCTTGAATTGTCTCCTTTCCCAAAGGAATGAATAGTTTATATGATATATTAACAAGCTGAAGTAGTTTCAGTCTCTTTTAATAACTGACAAGAAACTTGAAACCCAAAACAGGTTTGTTTAAGTGGCAACAGGGGCGGATAACTCTAAATCAACGTGGATGGATCTGGTACTTCCTGTATTTTGCCCTGCGCATTTATCAACGGAAGTCAATTACTAAACTATTTATAGTCACAAATATTATCGATGCATTGATAGTTTTTCGTTTCTATCATCGATTAATTGCTATCGGAGACTCAACAACTGCAATGCATCGATAGTTCCATACATCTTTACTGCCCTAATAGCAACACTGGGAACAGGGACACTTTAGTGTAACCTCCTAAGGTTCATGATGGAACATTGAACGAATGTTGTCTTATACCACAGCCTTGGCCAAATACATACTAAAGTACTGTCGGAAATAGAAAAAAAATGTATTTTCTCATTTATCTCTACAATTTATGTAGTTGATATGTGAAAGTGTGAAATATCTGTTAATCTAAGTTCGGCCTAACTACAGAGAGATAGGAAACGGAGAAAAGAGACTTTACTGAGGGGAAATTAGTGCAGAAATGAGCAATGCGTTTTTTATGTAAGTCCAAAAAGACTTATTTGGAACAGACCATGGCTTCATGCAAATTAGTGTGCGACGATATTGTATTACAAAGGACACTTTTCAAATGCCCAATTTGAAATTAGACGTAGATTCATTATAAACGATAGCTGACGTAAAAAATAATAACTTTTATGCCGAAACTATTCAGGATGTGGCTACCATGGAGTCTCACTGTCACTATAAAAAGAAACAAATAGGAGGGGTCGTCTCAAAAGCAAAACATGGGGTCGGGCTTGGGGATAAGCTAAGATAAGCTAATCCTTTAGGGCAATTATACTGGGGAGGTACATGGCACATCATAACAATTTAAAAATAATATCCAGTCCTGTCGATCTTCGAGTGGTCATGCCACCTATTTACTATGATGCGTTTCTATGGTTTTCGGGTATCATACTCTTTTACATATCTCAACATAAACTATATGAAACTATATGAAAGAAAGACACGTTAGATGTTAATCAATAGATGAGACATAGTCAACACACATGAAAAAGCACAAAATATCTTTGACATGACCCCTTGTGCCTGTAGGCAGCACATGCATTTCATGCCAGGTGAGTCGACGGTCCGTCGTCATACCTGGCTGAACGACCTAATTACCATCTATAGTCTGATCTATTGTTTTCAGCAGCTATTCATTTTTTTCTAAGTTTTGCCTGATTTTACGAGTAAACATGCTTTTCTGGATATCGTATTACGCATCCAACTGAACGCCCAGTTAGGCCGAAGTGGGTAATTTCAACATATGCTATTTGCAATTTCTGACAGTACTATAGCAAAGTGCCTCATACTGATTCATCCCCATGTGTCAGCTGTTGGGAACCTGGATCTATCCTTCTCCTGTATCACCAAGACTCAGCATGATGCTTTTACAAAGTTTGAAAATACACTTCCATACACAACTTTATGGGGAAAGAAAAATATATTGCCAAGTAGCAAAACAATTAAACTGGTGAAAACAAAATAACTTTAAATCTCTGTAGGTCTACGCAAGGTGTTTCAATTTTCTTTGCATTAAAGAATTAGAATACATATTTAGAGATGGCATACATTTATCATGTATAAGTTTATTTTCATTTATTCACAGATATTAAGCAAAGAACTAGGAAGATCCCATCTAACTACGCTCATTTATTGATTCAAGTGAAACCCATAACCATGGTAACAAACCAATACCAACCATGGTTTCTATGACGATGGTGAGGTCCTTCTCATCAGGACTGACGAGACCTACAAAGCTACCCCCGGTCTCCAGTTTCCCCACCCCGGCGCCATGACGCAAGTACTTCCATCCTATCTCTGTGAACTGGGTCGTGTGAGCTGAAACAGCAGGAAGAAGATGTTGTCTTCACATCTTGCAGACAAAAAGCAGTTTCGTGACAGCTGTAGATCAAAAGCCCATAGTCTAGGGCAGTAGCACTCCTTTATTCACTAATTTAGCACTAAAAATATACATGATAGAACAAAAGCAGTAGTTCTATTACCTGACAGATTCTAATTTAAGGTGCAGATCCAAACTACTGTAATAAAGCCTCTTTTAGAGTAGAAAAACGCAATACTTGTGTTTGTTCAAAGCACAAAACCATTATTATGTTGGTCAGTGGATCAGAGTGAACTAACTCATATCTCCAAACTTGAGGAATAGTCTGATTCAGCACAGAGGTACTCAATGATCTGACAAGACAGAATAGACATGGAATATATACCAACAATAGATGAACTTAACAATAGATCTCAAAGACAGCTATAAAGCCTGTTCTTTCCAATCTAATGAAACCACTAACTCTAACCTCTTCCCCTCCCGCTACCAACCCTTGTGATCCATATAGGACTCTGGACGACACAGTTCCTGCTACCATCCCTTGTGATCCATATAGGACTCTGGACGACACAGTTCCCGCTACCATCCCTTGCGATCCATATAGGACTCTGGACGACACAGTTCCTGCTACCATCCCTTGTGATCCATATAGGACTCTGGACGACACAGTTCCCGCTACCATCCCTACCTGTGATCCATATAGGACTCTGGAAGACATAGTTCCCGCTACCATCCCTACCTGTGATCCATATAGGACTCTAGTTCCCGCTACCATCCCTACCTGATCCATATAGACTCTGGATAGTTCCCCGCTACCATCCCTACCTGTGATCCACATAGGACTCTCCACAACATAGTTCCCACTACAATCCCTACCTGGATCCATATAGGACTCTGGACGGTGTAGTTCCAGCTACCATACCTGTTCCACATATACAACATAGTTCCCACTACCATCCCTACCTGTGATCCATATAGGACTCTGGAAGACATAGTTCCCGCCACCATCCCTACCTGTGATCCATATAGGACTCTGGATAGTTCCCTGCTACCATCCCTACCTGTGATCCATCTCTGGAAGACATAGTTCCCGCTACCATCCCTACCTGTTCCCTATATAGGACTCTCCACAACATACCTGTGATCCATATAGGACTCTGGACCTACATAGTTCCCGCTACCATCCCTACCTGTGATCCATATAGGGACATCCCACTACAATCCCTACCTGTGATCCATATAGGACTCTGGACCTGAGTTCCAGCTACCATCCCTACCTGTGATCCATATAGGACTCTCCACAACATAGTTCCCACTACCATCCCTACCTGTGATCCATATAGGACTCTGGAAGACATAGTTCCCGCTACCATCCCTACCTGTGATCCATATAGGACTCTGGACGACATAGTTCCCGCTACCATCCCTACCTGTGATCCAGATAGGACTCTCCACAACATAGTTCCCACTACAATCCCTACCTGTGATCCATATAGGACTCTCCACAACATAGTTCCACTACAATCCCTACCTGGACCATATATAGGACCATGGACTCCCTACCTGTGATCCACAACATAGTTCCCACTACCATCCCTACCTGTGATCCATATAGGACTCTGGACGACGTAGTTCCCACTCCAAGGTTCTACAGCTGTCATCAGCCCGTCTCTGTAGAATGGCAGGGCTTGGTAGTAGCTGGCAATCAGGTTCCAGGAGATGGTGCTGAAATTACATGGCCCTCAATAATGGAACTAAAATGCTCTAACATATGTTATATTTGCGATTACACTTTCTCACTGAAGTTCAGATTCTAGTAATTTTGTTGGGTTGAGTCCCATCTGGTATTCGAACCCACACCCAACAAAAGTACTAGAATCTGTACTTTACTACGAATGTGTAATCCCAAATATAACATATGTCTTATGTGACCGCTTTCTAAATGGCACTGCGTATTCATAAAGTGCTCTATGTTTAAATGTAAGCTGATGTAAGCGAGCCCAAGATTACTGCATTGTCCTAAAGACAACTGGCCATCCAGAGATCAATGACACTGAGGACCATACTCCTTTGATTCGCCAACAAATCATGATCAGTCTATTGGGACAACCAAAAGTTTTGTATTTTTATTGGATATAATTTTCAAATAACCCACCTTGTCATGTAGCCATTCACATAATTTTGATTTAGAATCTGAAACAGATATCAATTCCTCATTAAACACTGAAAGATGAACTTGTTAAAGGTGCCTTATTTGAACATGTCAGTTCATTTGGTGCAGAAAGTATACATAGAAGTGAAGAATGTAATTTTCTGAGTAAAATTGATATTTTATACTTATCCTGACTCATGTATTATTGCTTGTCTCCTTCCTTTCCTGAACGTTAGTGGAACACTTGTATCTCCTTTTTGAAGCTCCCTTTAATAAAGCAGACGTAAAATCACTACTCACCACGAGTTGTCTCCCTCTCGGTTTTGGCGGGAAAACGGTGCCCCCCCGTCTTCCCATGCTTCACTCTCTCCAAATTGCTAGCCCGACACTTCTATTTACAGGGAAATCCAAAGTGGCTAGTGGGGAGGTTGGGAGGGCTTACCTCATGAGTCAGGATAAGTATAAAATATCAGTTTTACTCAGAAAATTACATATTTTTTCTTATCCTGACTCATGTATTATTGCTTGTAGAATCCGACGGATCTGGTGGTGGGTCAAGCCACTTCTGGATTCCAATTAGTGATTTACGTCTACTTCCTGGTAGCACTTCAATTTACTGCTAGGCTCTGCTGCTGCTGTTACCCTTTTCTTCCAGCTTTCTCTGATGGGGGGACCACAATTGTTAACTTTTGGTCCTTACTTCTGTTAACATTTTTATGTGCATTTTTGCAACTCCATCTCTTGATGCAAGCATCAAGTGGAGAAGCGACCCTTCTTATGTACGAGTACGTCCTTACAAGTACTGGGTCTTATCACTTATGCTAGTCTGTCTTAGATGTGCATATGGACTCTAAAGCTGTAACTCTCCTGAGTGTTAGCTTTTGCAAGTCATGTGATAAAAGGGCGAGACTCTGTCTCAGCGCCTCTGTGGAACTGTCAATTGTTGTGCTACAACAAGTGGGCCGAAATGGTGAATGCCAGAGCCGTCTTCAGTGGCGATGTCTCTCAGGTAGTGGTTGGCAAACACCATGTCCGATTTCCAAAAGCAGCCCTCCATTATCCTCGTGATAGAGCAGTTTCCATGTAGAGCGAGTGTTGACGTCAGAGCTCTAATTTCATGTGGATTGGAGGCTCTTGGAGGATCAAGTCCTGCTGCTTTGTAGGCCCGTAGGATGACAGTTCTCATCCATATTGCTATCGTAGTGCGAGAGATCTCCGTCTGTGTCTCTGCCGATATAGGGATGAAAAGACGCTTGAATTTTCGTCTCCTGGTCCTAGACCTTTGTAGGTAGACTTTTAATGCTCTTACTGGGCACAAGGATCCTGTGGCCCAAGGACTGATGATAGTGCTGGGATGTGGAATTGTCTGTCCGGTTGACCTGGCAGTTGATTCTTTGCTATAAAGTCCCATCTCAGTCCCATATGCACGATGTTTCGATTTTCATCAAATCGTGTCCTTTCAAAGTCTAGAGCATGTATTTCCGACATCCTTGCTGCTGTTGCTAAGGCAATCAGGAATAGAGTTTTCTGCGTCAAGAACTCAAAAGATGTCCTATCTAATGGTTCATAAGCGTCACTGGTGAGATGCCGTAGAACTATGTTGAGGTCCCAAGCCGGAGCTTTAAATCTCTGTTGTTGGTCCTCCAGTTTAAAAGAGCGTAGTAAGGCCAGTAACTCTGGTACCTTAGTCAGTTTTACACTCGTCCTCATAGTGATAACTGAGCTCAATGTTGCTAGGTATGTTGAGAGTGTTGACCCTTTTAACCGCTTCGTTTGTCTTAGGTGACAAAGATAGTCCGCCACTTGAGGGTGTGTCGCTTTCATGGCTGTGAAGCCTGTTTTCGCGTAGGTCTCAAGCTTCGCCACTTGTCATTACAAGTTGCGTGTTGACTTGGCGTAAAGCTAGTGTGACCGCTTTAGCTGCCCTGGTGGAATATCCTCTCTTATTTAAGCACGCCTTGATACGCTCCACGCGTGTAGGCGGAACACCTCGGGGTTGCCGTGTGCTTGCTTTGTGTGTGGATGTACTAGCAAGTTTGTCCACTCTGGGAGTTGCAGTTGAGGCGGTCCCAGTTCTTGTATGAGAATGGGGAACCATATTCTCGCCGGCCAGTAAGGCGTGATCAAAATCAGTTGCAGGTTCTTCGTCTGCATGATTTTCTGCTACACTTTCGGTATTAGAGCTGGTGGTGGGAACGCGTAAGCGTTTAGTCCTTCCCAGGAGATGCTTAGAGCATCTGTTGCCCATGCTCGTGGATCTGGTATTGGAGAGACGAATGTTACCAGTTGATTGTTGAATCTTGTGGCAAATAAGTCTATTAGTGGCGCTCCTATCTCTTGTATGATCTGTTTGAAGATTTCTGGATGTAGCATCCATTCTGTTGGGGATGGCTGAGTTGGACGAGATAGTGCGTCTGCTATCACATTCTTGGCTCCTGGAATGTGGCATGCTTTTATGTGGATGTTCAGGTTGTCTTTTATGCTGAACAGATGAAAGCAAAGGTTCAGAAGGTTCGCCGACCTTGTTGATCTCTGTTTGTTTATGTAGAACGCCCCTGTGGAGTTGTCCGTGTGTACCGTTAGATGAGCATTCTTTAAAATGCTGGCCCAGTGGAGTATGGCGTTTATCACTGCTTTCATTTCTAGCATGATGATGTGCAGATTTTTCTCTTGTACTGTCCATTTCCCAGCTGACACTTCGTTGACGAGGTGTGCTCCCCATCCTTGGAGAGATGCGTCTTGCACTCTGGCTCTGCTAAGTAGGTGCCTCCGCAAACATTCGATCTCTGAGTCCACCATAGTAGATATGGTATTAGTCTGTCCGGGAGTCCGAAGGGGTCCGGATCGTCCAGATGTACATTTACGAAGACCAATAGTGGGCGTAGTTGTAATCTCCCTCTGCGCATCATATCCTGTGCTGACGTGAGGAAACCCAACTGACTCTGCCACTGTCGGAGTGGCCACGGAGAGAGAAGCGCTTGCGATACCATCTGTTGTATCTTTAGCCAACGGTCCTCTGGTACTGTTATGCGGTTTTCTGTTGTGATGAGTCGAATTCCTAGGAACTGCAGGTCCTGTGTAGGCTCTAGTTCCGACTTGAGGACTGAGTAGGCTCTGCCAACTTCGTAGTAATAACGGAGAGCGTAGTGCTTGAGATACAATGGCTTGTATCTAGATCAAACGATCGTGAAACCCTTGCCATGTCCGTGAGGGAAACGCAGCAATGTCCGACTCTGTGACTGCCATCTTTGTGAAGTCTATATAAAGTAGACTGGCTACCGTCATCAAAAGTCCGTCAAACGTATGTTGCTGCAATTCGCCTGATGAATCGTCTTCAATGCTGACAGGGAAGGTCTCTAACTCCGTGAAGACAGCCGAATCACGTAGTTCCCGTCTAACTGGACTGTAATTGAGGCCTTCCTCCCTTGTTGAAAGGTTGTCACTTGTAAGAATTCCCTGACATGTGAACTACGTCCGACTTCTGCGCAGGGTGTTGTCTCTCATGGACCAATCAAAATGAAGCATTTTGATTCCTTTAGCTTCCCGCGATGTGACCGGTGTAGCAGCAAAAAAGGTCCTTGTAGAATCTTGTGCAGTCGTTGATATCTTATCAACACTCGGTCTTGTCTGTAGCCTTCTGGAGTTATACGAGTGACCACGTGTATAGAGGGTTGCATGGTAAACACGCGAAATATTTTGCCGCGTAATACCGATGTAGGTAGGCTGTTTCCCTGGCTGCTGTGACTGTTACTTCAGGCCTGAAGATAATGCAGTCCTCCCTTTATACAGATGATCAGCTGAAGTCTACACCTCCTCAGCGCTGCCACTTGTAGACTGCATTCATCGATCTCAATGAAGTGTCGTAAAATACCCTCTTTGTGTTGAAATACACAGGTCCTTGAAGAGTTGATGGTCAACTTTGTTGTAAGTTCTACAAAGGGAGTCGTTGCTGATTTTGTAGTTTACATCAATCTCTGGAGTCTTTATGCAGGGTCCCATGTAAAGTAGCGGGAATTCCCAAACTTGAACGTTTGGAATATGTTGACTTTGTAACTTCATAGCCTTAGCAAGGCTGCTGCTGAACCCCGCCAATGTGAAGATCTGTACGCAAGTGAAGATCTCTGTATGGACATGAGTCCCGTTATTATCTTCTGATGTAGATATATCTATCTAAAATTTCTCAACGATGTGAATCCCGTCTTGGATTCAGTCTGAAGATCTGCGCAGGTGATGAATTCGGACAAGAGTACCCCTCTTGAACTTCAACACGTGTCCCTCAGTCTTTGCGCCGGTGAAGATCTCTTCGAGGGTGACGCTAGGTCCAGTCCATTAGCCATCCAATATTTTATCTCTGAGTCCAAAAATATGATACCGCTATCGTCCTCTGTATCATGTCCACTGGTATATGATTGTTGAATATCCTTGGAGATCTGCGTGGCGATCTATGTGGCGATCTACGTGGCGATCTGCATGGCGATCTACGTGGTGATCTGCGTGGCAATCTACTTGGTGATTTACGTGGGGATGAGCATGTTGAACTACGAGTAGTTCTAAGAAGTGATCTGTATGGTGACCTGCGTGGAGGTGAGCGTCTACGTGTCCGGGGTTGCCTTCCCGAAGGCAATATATTCCTATGCGGTGAATCCCGTGACAACCTGCATGGTGATGGTGACATTCTTGATGATCTATCTGACGACCTTGCGGCAGGTGAGAGAATTTTGTTGAGGGTCTGAGTCCTGAGACGTCTCTCTGTATCTTCTTGGAGGTGTAAGCCTCTCTGTGATGTAGGTAGCCTGCGCGAAGGCTCTTCATTAGCTTCATCCTCAGATGACGATCTATTTTGGTCGGATGAATGTCCCTTCCTTCGCGCAGGTTCGTTGACGTCGTGCAGGGCAGGTCTGCTCTTAGTCCTAGAGCTAGAACCTTTTGTAGATATCTCAGATGCACCACCGGTGCGGGGTCCTTCGTGCAGCACTGGTCCTGACTTGAGCATGAGAGGCGCTGCCTGACCATCATGCAAGGTCCTTTCCTGCGCGAAGCGCTTCTCCATCAGGCCCATCATCTGTTGGGAGAATTGCTGCATGAAGGTCCCGGGGTTGAATGTCTGCGACGACTGTAGAGATGACGCATCTGAGAGGGTAGCGATATGGTCCAGGGATCGCTGTACCTCATGGGTCCCTGCTGCCAATGTAGAAGGTAACTCAGACTGTGCTGACATTACTGTTGCTGAGGCCTGCGTCTTCTTCTTATGCAGTATCTCTGGGATGAGGATAGGCGGTTCTTCGTACAAGCCTATTTCTTCCATCGGGACGATCTCGGCAGAGAAGGTCCTTGTAGTCTGTGAAGAGCTCCCAGTAGATCTCGTTGAAGCCTTAGGGGCGTAAGGCTTCTTCTGCAACGAAGATGGCCTCTTTATCTTCATATGGGTTGAGGAGTTGTCCGACCTAGAAGATCTTATCTTCGACGTAATGGCGGACTTCATCCCACGCCCATCTTCTGAAGACGCCTCCGGCAGGTCACTGGATGGGAGTATGTCGTCTGACAACGACAGACAGCTCTTAAGGGACTCAGCCGGTTTAGCCATGACTTGTAACAGCCGCCTGGATTTATCCTCAGAGAAATAATAATTATTAAATTCAATTTTTGTTAGTTGCTGACATAATTTACAGCGAGAGCTGGAAGTACATATTGTTGGACAACTAGGGCACAATAATGTGGGTCTGCAGCAGAGAACCTAAACCTAAAACGAAAACAGGTTTTCATGAAATGTAAACAAACCGAACAATCACGTGAAACCGTGAATAAACAGTCAAATTTGCTAATAAATTTCAAACCATATTGTAGAAGGATACACCCTGAAATCTAATAAAGGTAACTTATAGGGTAATAACTAAGTTAGCAAAGGATATAGTGCCGTGTTGGAGACACAGGTGCTCTCCCAACCGTCCACTAGGGCGAAGAAGGAGAGAGTGAAGGCGTCGTTTTCTCGCCAAAACCGAGAGGGAGACAACTCGTGGTGAGTAGTGATTTTACATCTGCTTTATTGAAGGGAGCTTCAAAAAGGAGATACAAGTGTTCCACTAACGTTCGGGAAAGGAAGGAGACAAGCAATAATACATGAGTCAGGATAAGGAAAAATAATGAAATACTGAAACTGGTCAGTTTCACTAAGCTATCGTAGTGTTACGACTGCCGTAAGTCTATGTTACAGTATAGGAGTTACGACAGTTGTAGCGCTACGATAGCTCTGTGAAACAGGGCCCAGGACGATAGGAGACTACTTTTATCCTGTAAGTATGCAACTCAGTCTGGGACTAACCCTGGCCCAGCATCCGCCGCCGACGTTGTCGTTGAAGGTGCTGAAGTCTTCCGAGGACCATAGCTGCTTGCCGGTCTTCATGGCCGCAGTTGTGGTCAAGGTTCCCGGGTAGTGAGTTCTGTCAACAAACCAGAAATATCACAAGGATATTAGTGCCAGACTCTATTTCTAGCTTTCAAGGTTTAAATAGACTAAAATTTCAGTTGAAACATATAAAAGGCAGAAAACAACAACCCCAAAACCCAGTGATTTTGCAAGTAAGAAATATACCAGTTATGGTACATAATGTCTCGTTAGATAAGCCTAGGCAAAGCAGTGGTTGACTGACAGCATGAGAAATCATCATTTGTAGCCTAGTGGTTAAAGCATTCACTTGTCATACTGAAAACTCGGGTTCAGTTCCCACCAGGGGTACCATGTGTGAAGCCCATTTCTGGTGTACTCTGCCATGATATTGTGGGAAGTGGTGTAAAACTAAACTCACTCACTCACACTATACAGGCTGGGAAAGAAATTGCAAAACAGGAATAAAAGTCAAGGTTGAATAAATCTATTCAGCATGTTATATTTCCCAAGAAACCTCCCTATTCCCTGTTGCAGGCTGCAGTCACAGTGTATCTGTCCTTACCCTATGTAGTCGATGGCACTAGCAAGCACCGAATCTTTCTGGATATCGTTGGCAATACCCCATCCTCCATCAGCTGCCACCATACGCACGTTGCTCAGGCCATTGTCATCGAAAGTCTTCCTCAGGATCTAAAAAAGGGAAACATTTCACATTTACATGAACTTGTCCATGAATCTGAAAAAAGAAAGACAACTGCTTCTCAGGCAAAGATTTTTGAAAACAAAATGGGCAGAGCATCTTCTATTGATTTGTATATTTTATCTCCATTTCATAATGATAAACTCTGGACACATTTGTCTCCAGAACATCATTTACCATCTCAACAGCACAGAATTTCTCTTGCCCATGATCTTGAATTTAACAGCCAATTATATGCCCTTCATCTGCGCAGTAGTTTGGGATAGAGAGTGAATGAGTTTCGTTTTATGCGCCTTAGCAATATTCCAGCAGTATCACGGCAGGGGACACAAGAAATGGGCTTCACACATTGTACCCATGTGGGGAATCGAACCCGGGTCTTCAGCGTGACGAGCAAACACTTGAACCATTAGGCTACCTCACCTGCCCAAGCTTGGAATAGATCAACATCCAACACCACAGAGTTGTCCAAGTAACATATTATTACTTCCCGGTAATCTAACTGAGGAATGTGTAACATGACATCCTAGCTGGAAAGACATCTCCATGCCTGCTTCACAACCTTCGCTAACTGCAGTGTTCATTCAAGCATTTCTAAAATGAGAGCCCATGGCTCACCAGCCATCAGTTATGTGGGTCATTAGAAAATATTGTGGGCCATGTCAAATTGCTGTGACTTTTTAGCCATACAGTAAAATGATACACTAAGAGTTGCTGTTTCACTTCCTTTTTCAAACTTTCAATCTAGGTGAGGTCAACAAGAGAAACCAAAGATGTACTTGAGTTTTGCTTGAGTTGCCTAGCGAAAACAAACTTGTGATGCGTTTCATATTTACATTTACGGATGGGCAGACACAACACAACCTGTAGCTAGAAGGACACTGTATCTGTTCCTACACCATACGTGTAGTGTGACACCAGGGCAGCTTACCTTGATGTAGGGGATGTTATAGTCTCTCTCATTCCACACCTGTATACAAAGAGAAGTAAATACACAACTGGAGCCAGTTCAGTATATAATCAACATATTGTGCTCTTAAGACAATAAAGTTTGAGTGAGTTTAGTTTTAAGTCGTTTTCAGAAATATTCCAGCAATGGGCTTCACACATTGTACCCATGTGGGGAATCAAAACCGGGTCTTCGACATGACGAGCGAATGCTTTAACCACTAGGCCACCCCACCACCCCAATCAAGTTTGAAGATTAAGGCAAATCAGAGATGTGTTTAAACTAACAGAACTGACCAACATTTTGTGTTGTTCATCTAACATGACATATATCAACAATGTTAACATGCAGCCCAAGTGTACCAAGAAATGAACATGTAATTTTTAGAGTAAAATTGATATTTTATACTTATCCTGACTCATGCTCTTTTGCTTGTCTTCTTCTTCTTACGAACATAGTGGAACACTTGTATCTCCTTAAATGAAGCTCCCTTCAATGTAAAATCACTAATGGTACTCACCAAGAGTTGCCTCCCTTTGCCCTTTGCGCGGGAACAGGTGTCGCCACCCTCTGGCCTCATGCTTCACTCTCTCCTGATTTTGCGAGCCCAACACTTGAATTTACAGGGAAATCCAAAGTGTTATGTGGGGAGGATGGGAGGGCTTACCTCATGAGTCAGGATAAGTATAAAATATCAATTTTACTCTAAAAATTACATATTTTTCCTTATCCTGACTCATGCTCTTTAGCTTGTAGAATCCTACGGAAACGGAGGTGGGAAGAACAGAATACTTTGGATTTATAAAATTAGTGATTTATATAGATATAACTGTAATAACCCCCTAACAGGAACTTCATAAAGGCATAGACTTAGGATATTTCCTCTATTATAAACCATAGGTTTATATATTGCCATAACTGGGGTATTACAATAATAATATACTATGATATTATCAAATAAAGATATAAAAGCAACTCTGATAGAGAAGCTATACAACTGAACATAATCATCAGTATAAGCTTAAGGCTGAGTAGACCTAAGCTAAGTATATACATAGCCCTAGAACTCCGTAGAGTTATAAGCTAGATAATGCAGGTATGAAATATACATAATAATCTCGTAAGAGTATGTGTTAACGTCTACGAGGGACTGTCAACTGCTGTGCGAGGACCAAGGGACCGAAATGGTGAATACCTGAGACGTCCTCGGTGGTGATATCTCTCAGACAGTGATTAGCAAACACCATGTTAGATTTCCAAAAGCATCCTTCCATAATTGTATTCAATGAACACCTACCGTGTAGGGCGAGAGTGGAAGCCAATGCCCTGATCTCATGGGGATTTGATGCTGTTGGAGGGTCCAGGCCTGCTGCCTTGTAGGCGCTGGTATGACAGTTCTTATCCATATAGATATGGTGGTACGAGATACTTCTGTCTGAATTGTTGCCGATAAGGGGATGAATAATCGTTTGAGAAATCTTCGCCTTGTTTTGGAACGTCGTAAATAGATTTTGAGAGCTCTGACTGGGCAAAGAGATAAGTCCAGTGTATCTTGAGATCCGAGAATCGAAGATAGTGCAGGGATATGGAATAACCTGTCTGGTTGACCTGGTAGTTGATTTTTGGCGATGAAATCCCATCTTAATCCCAGGTGTGCTGTGTTTTGATTGTCATCAAACTGTATCCTCTCATAATCTAGTGCGTGAATTTCTGACATCCTGGATGCCGTGGCTAGAGATAACAGGAAAAGCGTTTTCTGTGAGAGAAATTCAAAGGTTGTCGATTCCAACTGTTCATAAGCCTCACTTGTGAGGTGTTGTAGCACTATATTCAGATCCCAAGCTGGAGCGTGGAACTTCCGCTTTTGGTCCTCCAATCGGAAAGCACGTAATAAGGCCAGAAACTCTGGAGTCTTAGTCAATTTGACACCCGTTCTCATAGTTATCACAGAACTAAGCGCGGCAAGATATGTTGACAATGTCGAGCCTTTTAAATGTTTGTTTTGGCGTAAGTAACACAAATAATCTGCCACTTGTGGATGAGTAGCATGTCTCGCTGTAAATCCCTTATTTGCTGCGTAATTTTCGAAACTGTGCCACTTGTCGCGTACACAAGTTACGTGTAGAATAGCGTAAGGCAAAGCGTGACCGCTTTTGCCTCTGGTAGAATATCCTCTCTTGTTTAAACACATTTTAATACAGTCCATACGCGGAAGTTGGAATACTTCTGGGCTTCCGTGCACCTGTTTGGTGTGTGGATGTACTAATAGATTTGAGCTTTGGTAGCTCTAGTTTCGACTGACCGATTTCTTGAATTAGAATGGAAACCACGTTCTGGCTGGCCAGTAGGGCGCGACCAAAGTGAGTTGGAGGCTCTGTGTTTGTCTGATTTTCTGTAACACTTGAGGTATTATTGCTGGCGGTGGAAACGCGTACGCATTGAGGCCTTCCCAGGATATGCTTAGAGCGTCCGTTGCCCATGCTTGTGGGTCTGGGACTGGTGACACGAATGTCGGTAGCTGATTGTTGAAGCGTGTGGCGAATAGATCTACTAGCGGCGCTCCTATTTGCTTGATTATTTGTGCAAAGATTTCTGTATTGAGCATCCATTCTGTCGGTGACGGTTGATGTGGTTGAGAGAGTGCGTCTGCTAGTACATTCTTGGCTCCGGGAATGTGGCATGCTCTGACATGTAGGTTGAGATCGTGGATTAGATCGAAACAGTTGAAAGCTTAAAGTCAATAGGTTCAGTGATCTCGTTGAGCCTTGTTTGTTCACATAAAACGCCACTGTCGAGTTGTCGGTATGAATCATTAGGTGGGCATTTTGTAGAATGGTGCTCCAATGAAGTATGGCGTTGATTACAGCTTTCATCTCTAACATGTTTATATGGAGCTTGCTTTCTTGCTGATTCCATAACCCTGATGCTGTCCGGTTGGCGAGATGAGCTCCCCAACCTTGGAGTGACGCGTCTACATATAGATGGGTTTTGAATTCCTGCTCTGCTAAACAAATACCTTCGCAGACATTCGACCTCCTGGTCCACCATAGTAGATGAGGTCTGAGATGTTTCAGTAGACTGAATGGTTGTAGGTCGTCGAGATGTGCATTGATGAAGACCTGTAACGGACGTAACTGTAATCTGCCTCTGACTGTCATGTCTTGGGCTGATGTGAGGAGACCCAACAGCCTCTGCCAATGTCGTAGTGGTAACGGAGAGAGTAGAGCTGGCGGAATGGTCTGTTGGATCTTGAGCCAACGGTTTTCTGGTACGACGATACGGTTGAGAGTCGTGATAAATCGAATGCCTAGGAACTGCAGGTCTTGCGATGGTACTAGGTCCGACTTGAGTAAGTTTACTAACCATCCTAGCTGTGTTAGTAGCTTTATGATGTAGTTTAACTGTAGTTTGAGACGCTGTGGATCTTGATCTACTTGTATCCTGTCGTCGAGGTAGAACGCACTGCGTAGCCCTAGACGATGTAGATAGGTGACAATAGGGTTTCGTTATCCTCGTGAATAGCCAGGGGGCTGATGATATTCCGAATGGGAGTACTTTCCATTGGTAATGCAGCCCGTCTAGTGTAAATCGTAGGTATTTCCTGGATTCGGGATGTATCGGGATGTGTAGATATGCGTCTTGCAGATCTATACTGGCCATGTTCTCCATGGGGCGAATCAACTGCCGTAACTGAGGTAGATGTATCATGCGAAACTTTGGTGGTTTGCGTAGATAATTCCTGTTGAAAAAGCTCATGTTGTAAATGAGTCTGTATTTCTCCTTGGAGTTTTTCTTGGGTACTAGGAAAACTGGGGAGTAGAAACCTGGTTCGATGTTTACTTGATCTAGTACTTCTATGGCCTGCTTGGTTAGGAGTGATGTAACAGCCTCTCTTAACTTTGGTAGTTGTTGTGCCTGTAAGTCCAACTTGTGAGGGTTGACTGTCAGCGGAGGCGTGGCCTGTAGTGGGATACTTAAATCCGGTTGAAGAATGTTGGAGACATAAGGGTCTTGTAACATTCCCCAGTTCTCCCAGTGTAGTTGGAGGCGCACCACCCACTTGTGACGGTTGTACTGGAACGGCTGGGGTGGAAGACTCCAGTCGTTCCGAACCTGTCTTTCAGCTGCTTATAGTTGCGGGAACCTCTGGGTGTCCTGCCTCTTCCTGACCCTCCTCTATAGTTGCCATATGGGCTTAATTTAAAAGAATCTTTTCCCCTGGAGCTGGCCATCTACCTATCCCATGCTCTCTGTAGTCCAGTGAATTTAGATATCCCTGAGTATCTTTGTGAAGTCTGCCTGATGACGCTTGGCTAAGCGGTCCATCGACTTTAATCATAAGGACTTCTCTGGAATCCTTAGTGACTTCCTTTGGAGACTTTGTCTATTCCTCCGCCAAAGATGGATGGGGAAGACCACGGGCTGTATAGAGTGGAGCTGTAAAGTTCTCACCCCAGCTGCAGGAAGCGAGGAGGCCTTGACGACGAAGCTAAGGTTAGCTTCTGCTGCTGAGACAGATGTGAGATGATCCGCTAGGAACTGCTGGTCCTTCTTTGCATCAGTAGGGCCGAGTAGATCATCCTATCATCTTCAGAGGTCGTTACTACCAAATCTGGTGATAAGTGTCTCATTGATCGCTCTAGATCTATTTAGGCCAAAGAACATGCGCCTCGGCCATGGTTTCTATCTGCACCAGCTTCGCGATCACCAATCTTGTAATTTGTTCTTGACATCGCTGATCAGCTTGTAGTTTTCATCGATGTCTTGTGCCTTGAAGAAGGGGTCCATGTTGTGAGTTGAGAACTTCTTGGCGTGAAAGTTCGCAGATGTGGTGTCTGCACTTTCGCGGGCTTTATGGAAGGCTGTATCTAGATTCTGTGGCACCGCAGCAATCGGGTCGATTGGAGGTAGGGTGACGGCGCCTGCATCGCCTTCCTTCATCAGGTATGTCTCGCCCGAGTTGCCACTCTTGGAAGGTGAAGAGAGATCTAGGTTGTTTACCATCCAATATCGTATCTCAGCGTCTGAGAAAATGATGCCTCCATCATCTTCTATCCCAGCATCGCTGATGAGAGGTTGATGCTCTTCTGATGGTGGACTGTGTTTCTATCTCTATGTCGGGTGACGCTCGGGAAGACCTGACTGTAGACTTGTGTGCAGACTTGTGTGGTGACCTGTGAGGCGATCGACGTGGTGATGTACGAGGAGATCGGCGCGGTGAGCGGCGACGAGATCGTCTTGGTGATCTGCGTCTATGGGTTGACCTTCTCGGAGACCTGTGAGGAGAATGTTGATAGCTTCGCTAAGCTCTTGTGTAGTCCCTCGAAGTCCTTCTTGACGATGACGATCTGTGGTCAGGTGTCCTTCGTGAAGGCCTTGTCCGGGAACGGCGACTTGACCTTCGCGAAGGCTTCTGTGAGGTCTGGTGGTCTGAGTCCGCATCTAAGGATGAAGCCGAGGAAGGTGATGATCTATCCCGCCTTCGCGAAGGCTGTACATCTGGGTCCTTCGTCGAGGTGGTCTGCGACTTCCTTCGCTGAAGGTGGCTTCGTGGCTGCTACGCTGACAGGGGTGCCTCTGGGGTGTCGCTCATGCTTGGAACCTTCGCGAAGGCTCAGGCCCTGGGCTGGCTGCTTCTCCAGTCTGTAGTGGCCTCCATCATGATCATGATTTGCCGCAACAGTTCATCTGGGATGGTCTGGCGACGGCGTAGTCGGTGCCCTCTCTGGCTGCGATGTTAGCGGGCGGGGCCCTCAGGGAAGTCGCCTGACATCAGTGTAGAGACATCAGGCTGCATGGCGATCTCTGCTGATGTCACTGTAGCTGTCACCGGTCGCTTCTTGTATGCGTGATGGCCGGGATGATGATCGGCTGATCATCATAGAGGCCCAGTTCGGGCGGCTGGAACGATCTCGGCTGAGAAAGTTCTTGACGACTTTCAGACTTTCCCTTGGAGGTAGACGCTGCCCTGGGGGTAAGTGCGAAGTCTGCGTTGAGAAGACGCCGAGGCCCTCTTGGACTTTGGCTGCGATGACGGGATGTCTGGGGAGGCAGGACGCTTCTTGAGGGGCGGACTGCATCCCACGCTCTCCTCCGAAGGGGTCTCTAGCGAACACCAGACGGAGGGGGTCGATCGACAGCAGCTGACTGGATGGGGAATCCGATGTATCGGCCATGTCTAACCCTTTGTTTGCGGACCTATCTGCTGCACGCCTCAAGACGCTAAAGATATTTATTAAAAGCAGAATTAGATAGATTAATGCAGTAACTGCAACGTGAATCAAACGCGCACAAGGCGTAGAACAACTAGGGCATAATACATGCGGTCAGCAACAGAAAAACGTAATCTACAAATAGTACAGATTTTCATCAACGTAATACTAGCTGAACAATCACGAACTCAATGCGAATAAACAGTAGAAATAATGATTAATTATCAATACAAATTAATGAAGGATACTAGCTATACCTCTATAGTAACCTATAAGAGGTAACTAGCTAAGAAAAACCAAAGGATATAGTGTGTAAGGAGACACAGGCGCTCTCACATCCTGCTCACTGGGCGAAGAAGGAGAGAGTGAAGCATGAGGCCAGAGGGTGGCGACACCTGTTCCCGCGCAAAGGGCAAAGGGAGGCAACTCTTGGTGAGTACCAATTAGTGATCTTACATTGAAGGGAGCTTCAATTAAGGAGATACAAGTGTTCCACTATGTTCGCAAGAAGAAGAAGACAAGCAAAAGAGCATGAGTCAGGATAAGGAAAAATAATATTGTTTGAGAGGACCTACCCCAATATAGTCTATGGTAAGATTGTAGTACTTCTTGGCTCCTTGGACCCACTTGAGGATGTAGGTAGCAGTCTGCTTGGGGTTGGTGTAGGGGCTGCGTGTGCCGTCCCCGACCCAACCAGGGAAGGTCCACGGGAGACCATACAACTTGATGTTAGGGTTGCGCTGAAACAGATCCACAATAAATAGCCATCACTCACCTTGAGAATAACCTGCCTAGTACATCATCATCATCATCATCATCATCATCTAGCAGGGATGGTAATGTTGTATATATACATGGAACATCATACATCACTGTACAGAAGAAGGAGTGAAAAACGATGACTTTTCTTCTTTAGATGATCTAAATAGACTCTGTGTGTCCCAAAAGACATTCATATAAAACACTTCAGCATCATGAATCTAGAGTTTACTGAGACTGTGTGGGGATACAATAAGTATTGATAAACCAGGGTTTGTGGACTGTGTGAGTGAGTTTAGGTTTACTCTGCTTTTAGCAATATTCTAGCAATATCACGGCATGGGACACCAGAAAAGGGCTTCAAACCTTGTACCCATGTGGGGAATCAAACCTGGGTCTTTGGTGTGATGAGTGAATGCCTTAACCACTAGGCTACCCCACTGCCATCATACTAGTGAATTTGGACCTTGTGTTTTGAAAGAGTAGGCGTCATGGTAAGAGAGAAACAACACGTTCGAAGAACGAGTGTAATATCTTATTTGACACAAAACATGTTCCATTTAATAACTAACTAAATGGAATATCCATGACGTAAATAAAGTCTAAATTGAGAGGTACATTGAGAGGAAATTGCCCATGGTTGCCATATGCCATGGCAATATTACTATTGTACGATTAAATGGGTATCTAATAACATCAGATATGTATGTTGTATGCATATGTTGTCATGCTTAGAAAATCTGTTTTGTTGTGTTTGTGAAGTTGCTAAGCAACCTTGTGAACAGCTGGTGAATGAGTGACCAATAAGTAAATTTATGAAGAGAATGAGATGCAGAGATACAGGTACTGAAACAAAACAATGAGTTTAACATTGCTTGATTGACTGATTGAGTTTAGCTTTATGCCACATTTAGCAATATTCCAGAAATATCATGGCAGGGGAATTTTTGTGAAAGAGTAACACATGGGCTATGGTAATGAAATTACTGTTTCCTTTCTTTTGAAACAATGCCACTGGCCACTGGCAGGACTCAGATGTGATTGTACAAGAGATCAATTAACTTAGTTTGGAACTCGAGAGAAAGTGTCTGCAGTAGCGTCCGCCATTTTGGTTTGTTTATCCTTACGAGTGCCGGTACCAATCGATTTCTTTTATTTATATGGTTTAAAAGCCATGTGCAATTATATGACCAATAAACATTCTCAAAACTATTAATGTATAATACTATAAAGGAAATACAAAGGTTATTATTAGTTTTGACTACATCACGAAAATTACCGATTGTATCGGATGAACCGGTTCGCGAAAAGTGTACTGCAATATATCATATTGTGAAGATCGAACTGCAATATAACGGTTAACCGTTACTATCACCCACCCCTAGAGGACACCAGAAACATTGCTTTTAACAGAATTTTTAAGAATACAAGAAGCCACCCAGTTCTCTCCAAGTTGTGTTAATACAATCTATTGTGTTTGTCCTAGAAGCATGATCTAACTAACCTTCTTGGCCTCCAACATGAGCCACCACTCATATCCTCTCTGGTAGTTCTCCTCCCAGCTGTTGTGCATGTGGGAGGACTCGGTTCCGTCTACAACACAAGGCAACGTACATCACAGACGAATCTATCACACCTCAAATACAGACAGACCAGTCTAAGTTAACACCCATGTTAACAGTTATCATGCACGTCATATTACAGCCATGTTAACAGTTATCATGCACGTCATATTACAGCCATGTTAACAGTTATCATGCACGTCATATTACAGCCAAACCTCTTCATTCATGTCATGATTAATGTCATCACTCGATGACTATGCCCTGCATTGCATACCAAACTTTAATCTTGGATCTTCAACAATTTCTACATTCTAACAATTCTGTTATGGTAACCTCCTCACTGATAATTTTCTTGTGTAAGGAAAATCATCTCAGTGACGACAATGATTTTACAAGGTAAACAGTCAAATTATTTTCATTTTTGTGGATGTTTCTTCCATTAAATGATATGTGAAAGGTATGCGACATATTGTTCACTAAAAGAACAACACATCTCAATGTATAATATTGCTCATGGCGAAATTGCATGTAAAATGCAGATTCACATTTATCAAGACAAGAACTGTTGACATGTCTTCAATAAGGGACCCGTTCAACAGTTATGGAGAAGCATGTACAATGTGAATGAAACCCCCTAAAATTTATGTACTAAGTAAGTGACACACCCCTCTGCATGTCATGTACAAAATCAAGGACACCCAACCAATAATTTTTAAGCATGATTTTCTAATAATTGTATGTACAAAATTGCTGACCCCCTAACTCCCAAGAACAAAATGGGTGACAACCCCCACCCCATAAATAGTGGCGGTCCCTAAAGTCGGTGACAGTTTTCTTGTAAAACTTCCGTAATATTCAGTTAAATGGCAGCGGTCTGTAAATTATCAAGTCTGGACCAGACAATCCAGTGATCAACAGCATGAGGATTGATCTACGCCATTGGGATACGATGGCATGTGTCAACCAAGTCAGCGAGCCTGACCAACCGATCCTGTTAGTCACCTCTTACAAGCAGCATAGGTGACTGAAGATCAATTCTAACCCGGATCTTCACGGGTCTCAGTAAGGCGGGGAAGTCTGAAGATGTCAAGGGGAACAAACCTGTACTTTGTGCATCTCCTCCTATTTCAACTTTAAGAATCTGCAGAGAAGCTCCGAAGTTTGGCTACAAGAAATTAAATAGCCTTCATGAACATATTAACTAGCTTAAATACAGGTACCAGGACTACAGTACCTGAAGTGCAATATACTGCAATATACTGCAATAGTGTTTATTTGCCAATACACAGCCCTAACATGTACATATTTGTTGTTCACAGTAAACAGTAGTGTTGAAGTTCAGAAATTGTAAACACTTTCACATGGTTTCAGTAATGTTCACTATACACTTATGATCAACTTATGAACATGCTGGAATCATGTCAAGTTTTAACTTATAAACAAAATACTTATATACATATTGGTTGGTTGGTAGGTTGATTGTTTGTTGTTAAATGCCACACTCAGCAATATTCCAGTTATGTGGCGGCAGTCTGAAAATAATAGAGTCTGGACCAGACAATCCAGTGATCAACAGAATGAGCATCGATCTTCGCAAATGGGATTACGATGGGATGTGTCAACCAAGTAAGCGAGCATGACTGCCTGATCCTGTTAGTCGCCTCTTACGACAAGCATGAGGTGCAAAGGCCAATATGAGTATCTGAAGCCTCTCCACTGCAGATAATATCTTATATGTCTTTAATCATACCTTGAAAAGATAGTCCAAGATTTCATCTCTTTGCTTTTTAGGGTAGTTCACCAACAGTTTTGATGTTGCCTGAAAATTCAAAATACATACATTTAAAGGCACAAAATCACCCCACACCTCTCTAAAAATATATAAAGCATTTCTCTCAATAATAGTTCACTATCAGCCCTCAGGGAAGCTACAATATATTTTATTCCAATCAAAATTACTTATTTAGATTACAATATTAAATTAAAAAGTTCAAATGAATTCATGCAACGTTGCATTAAATCAACTCTCATACCAGCCGAACATTATTTCATGCAAAACCCTATAGAGTTATGTCCCTTGAAGCGTCCTTACAAATATCCTACGCACAACTTGTGATTGAAACCAGTTCAGCAAACATTGACAACACCGTGTGCGACAGTTTTCGATGTACAGAGCAATTGCTTACATTCCATATATGGCAAGTGTTCTCTGTTTCGAAGCTGTGTGCCTCAAAGTTTCAATTATTGATTTCAGGCACGTCATAAGGGATAATACATCTTTTATTGTATCAATAGGAAGCTAAAGTGAGTGCATATGCCCCAATATATATAATAAAGTCCAAACTATTGTCATAAATGTGTGACACTGTGCCTTTAACATTACAAAAACATAACACAAATCTCCATTATTGCATTGTTTTAAATATATTGTGTCCAGGCGACACTTTGTTCCAAAAAAACTACAAAAGTAAAAAAATTCTCTAAAATACAAAACATGCTGCCCAAAACAATATCACAATTCAGCCTCACACTGTCTTATTCTCTCTTCCCAGCACTGAAGGCGAGCAAACATTATATGTCTTACATGTCACTTATACATTATACTTTGGCATGTTTCCTAATTTCATCTTAGTATGGAGTTCGGCGCTACATAAATGGACACATTATTATTATCATATATATATATATCAGATTCCAGCAGCTGACTGAAAACTTCACCATGATACCAGACTGGGACAGTGAAATGGTGAAATGGAAATGAAACAAAAGTATTTTTCAATACTTTTGCTTTGCAAAGTTGCTTTTAATTTTTGCTGGATTTGTTTTTATGCATTTCCGAAGATCTATGGTGCAAAATCCTGTCAAGTATGTTACAATCTTAAAGTGCCAATTGATTAGGAAACTTCATCCAATTTCTTATTTCTTATAAAAATTACACATATTTTTTATTGGTTTTAGTAATGCAAGTTTGGTAACGCTGGGAAACATTGATACCTTGCTATCTATGTATTAAAAAGAAGCGGTTATCCATAAAATTGAACCTGTTTAAGCTTTAGTTCTTCTGGATGTATTGAACTTACTCAAAACAAAACATCAACATTCAAATTCCGATGCTGCTTCAGGATGCAATTTATTGCTTCTGTTATTTGCATGTTTATTTCAAACTTTGACCTTTTGTTAATCACATTATGAAACTATTATGAACTAATTTCTCATCACAATCTCCTTTCTTTCCATCACCTCCTCCTAAACATGCTAAAGGAAAGAAATTTCAACATCTTAAATTATCATTACTATTTGGGCTGGATAACGACATACCAGTAGATCAAAGAGATCGATAATCGTTAACTGAATATTGATACATTATCGATAAATATAGAAGTAACTATTAGCACAAATGCCCCAAAAGCCTGTAAGAAATTATCCTATTTCACATCACTGGTGTGTGGGAACATATTATGCATGGATTACGAACAAATCAGCCTCCAGAACAAAATTTAGGAGCAGCCCATAAATAGAGACGTAGCTTTGTGTAATGTGTAAGTAAATTAACATTATACTCCATGACAATAGTTGGTGTATGATATTATCGATGACATAATTTTCACATCTATTACCATTAATAATTCTTCCCTTGGACGATATTCTTGACTATCAATCTTTTTAACCAGCTCACCACTGTTGCTCACTCTGTGAAATATTCACATGCACCGTAGAAATGAAAGTCTCACGGCAAACATTCTGATGACACTGTCACAGTTATGACTACTTGATGCCCAGATTTAGTTTTGTGTTTTCTCAATACCTTGAATAGCTTGCATATATTTCTGCAACCTACTATTATTATCAACAATACATTTTCTGAAACCAGAACTATTCTGTGTTTGTGTTTCCTTTTACAGTACTGGGATAGAAATACTTTTTTCCTAAGTGAACCTTAGGGCACCAGGCAAATATTTTAAATGTGCCTTTCAAACATCAAGTGTGTCCACATGTTTTTAGAATAAATGACTGTAGCAAGGATGATGATCTTTGGAAATTTATTGTCAGAAAACAACAAATGTAACCTGTTTTCTGTTATCACTGATAAGTCTTCTGTGTTAAGATGGCTTTCAAAAGCTTTGTTTGTACTGCTTTCCCAACACCTTTAATAACTGAGTATTCCGTGACAGGTTCACTTGTCAATATATCTAACATACACAATTTCCTCTTCAGTAACCGAACTATCAGTACTCCCATCACTCTAAATGGAGAAACAACCAGATTTCTTTACATTATCCATCATAATTCCAGTGATTTCCTGGGCGATAAAAGTCAATAAATGTTTTTGCTTGTTTGTCATTTGCGTTTTACAAGTGTTTTGTTTGTCTCTAAATAATTAAGTGTGTCATAAGGTTAACAGAGAACATTTTTTATCTGTGCCATTTCAATATCTACTGTGCCATGGCAAGCTAATATATGGGGTATTTTGAACCCAGCAGTAGTTCACTGTATATAATGTATGAGTCATGTAATTTCATATGCTTGTTTTCGTGTCTTTGCTTTCACTTATTTTGGATATGGGATCACTGAGGGAGAACATCTCATGCACTGCATCAATGTATACTTGTACATCCATTTGTTAAACAGACCATTCACCCTACAAAATACCCGGGCACATCCCAGACTTACAAGTTCGAAACTAACCTAAGTCTGCTTACACATGAAGAGTAAATTTCAGGAAAAACATGTGACATTCCTTGTAGACGGCCACTTTAATCATTACAGTGGTATGGTTGCAGCATTGTAGTAGATTAGCTTTTGGACTAGTGAGGCCCAAATATATACTTTTAACCCTGTAACGGCCTATAGCAGAGATGCCAACCCTATTTTAGCCTAATTAGTATTTTGGCAAAAAACTGATGCAAAAATTATTATTTTTTGGCCAAAATTAGTATTCACTTTTCCAAAGAATTTTCATATTAAATAAAATATGTAAATTTATTTGTCTAAGACCAGTGTATGAAATAAGGCCCGTCCGACCCCTGAGAGACGGGCTTTGTTTCTGGCGGAGTCTAAATTTACAGCCAGCCAACCTGATGGTCTGGTAAAAAAAAATGAGACAACATATTCTAATACATCTGAGTAATTTTCTTTGGATTGTCTGGTCTGGTTAAATCAATAGTAAGTATGCACATATAGCTTGATACTGAATAAAATGTGGTTGAAATTTATTGTGCATGGTATGTATGCTATTTAATAATTTAATTGAATGTATTATTTTTTAAAAATTAGTATATTTTTACTGCTATCGTAGAGTCGTGTATTTTGTGTTGTTTTTCATCATAACAAATACGATAAAATTGTATAGGTTAGCATCTCCGCTATATTTAAAATACAGTTAAGCTCCACCACCATGTATAGTGTAATAAAGCACACTTTAGCCCTAGTTAAAGTACGAGGACGCTTAAGTCCGGAGTGCTTTAACGCTTATAATAGTTCAGGGCTTAAAATGTGCTTTATTACACTATACATGGTGGTAGAGCTTAACTGTATTTCTTTCTAAGATGAAAAATTTAATACTTTCTAAGGATAATTCACGATTAATTTAAGGCAGAAAACAAACGACGGTGTCGGTGACCTTAAATTAAGAATCCTCGCACAGGGCTAACTGGCACGCTATTGATGTGTCTGACCCCCTACGTTAAGGCTAACGTTACCAGAAAAAAAATGGTAACAGTTTGATGACGGTTTTACGTTTGGATTAAATATCTTCTCTGAATTATTTTAATTACATCTGTCATTAACGTCAACCATATGGGCAATATGAACGTCGCATTTCTACTACCAACGTAAGTTTAGATCAGTACATCCAGATGAAGCTGAGTAGTCAAGTAGTCACATTCCATGATTGCATTGTGGGAATGTAAACATTGCGAACGTTACCGTGTCGCTGAAAACTTGTGAGTCGAATTGACACATTTTAACCATCGTAAAACCTAAGCGTAATGTTTCCACAAGTGATGTTAGCTGCGTGGAAGCAACTGCAAATCAAGAAACGGGATGCAACGGAGTAGTTTACTCTAGGAGGCCGGTGCGAGTGATGACAACTGACATGCATCGCGGATCGCCGCTTACATTGTGACGTAATGTAAAATGGTTCTATTACGAGGGGCACATTAGAATGGCGCAGTGGACGGGATAACGCCATTCAATTGTTACGTCATCAAAAACTATACCTTTATTTATTCGTATAATTCATATGTAATGAGACCGAAAGTGTGGTATTTTATTTATTACCCACGTCTTACATGCATTAAATTGACAAAAAGCTTATTTTTGTTATTGTTATGGTTTCCAAACCAAACTGGTTTCATAAAGAGGTTGGGGAAGAATTTTGTTCTGTTGTACACTTTGCATGGCGTCACACTGTATTGATGTCACTAAGCCATTCTCGCCTGTCCCTTGGTAACCGACGTCACGATGCATGTCAGTTGTCATCGCCTCTCGTGCAGCCTCCTACAGTAAACTACCCAGTAGCACCCGTTTCTTGGTTTGCAATTGCTTCACTTGGCTTACATCACTGGTGGAAACATAGCATTTATGTTTTTCGACGGACATAATGTCTCAGTTCGACTCACAATTAAACAGCGACATGACAACGTTCGCAATGTTTACATTCCCACAATGCATATAAGTTGTAGAATGAATGAATTCACGTGTTTGCTATGAATGAACAAGTAGTTCTGTCATAACGTGACCTAACTGAGAGGTCATTGGTTATCCAATCAAATTGTTAGAATCTCAGGTCAAGTCGCTACGACACAGATCAATGCAATACGACACTCATGTGACGTACGAGATTAGTATGCAACTACCCATACATTGACCACGTGGGTAATAAACCTGGGTATTTGATATCATCCTACACAGGTTAAGGATGAGACACAGGGAGAGGTTATCCAGATGAGTAAATATACTGCCTCTTATCATTACGGCTCCTTTACCATGTTTACTATGAACTGATTTCAGCTGTCAGGCTTAAAATATATGTGTATTTCCATAGTCATAACCCTCATCTGGATCCCTTGATCACCTGTAGGCCAGTGTAGTTAGTGAGTGGGTGAGTTAGGCTTTACAGTCACATCAGCAATATTTCAACCATATCGTCTTACATTCACCATAAATTCATATAAATTATAAAAAGCCTGTCAACGAAGGACAGTAAAAACAACTAGAATATAACAGATATATCAAACTAGCCAACAGCTGAAGGCAGATCACCATACAAGGGACCATGGGGACTTACAGTACATTTGCTTCCTGCATGGACCCTAGCTGGATTTACATCATCCCTTCAGCTGTCAGCAAGTTTAGACAATCTAGCCATAAAATAAAATTACATATATTCTACGGTAAAACATAGCGGTATGTCTAAACTTACTTTGAATCTTTTGGGACTTATGTGTTGTAGATGCGATACTAAACTTTTATTTGTTTTTCACAAAAAGCAGTTGAATGTTCATCTGGGAGAGTTATTTGACTTGTGTAATAACACACTTTTTGACAACTTTCATCAGACTGATTCTTATAGAACTTCACTGATTAAGGACATTTTTCAATCAGCCCTTCCTTGACTAATGTGTTCAATAAAATAATTCATGAAATTTGGGATAAAAGTATCATTTGTCATATCTATATGTCTAGTGTGAAGTGTGAATCTAACAATGCTGGCGGTATATTTCTTATGACTCTGAAAAAAAATATTCAAATGTATCTTAAAAAACCCCCCAATGATTATGTTACTGGTGTAATGAAAAGAAATATAATTTTTGACCGAAATGTCACTCTATGTAATAAACAGGAAGTTGTTATCCATAATGTTGTATGCTTGAGATTCAAGCTGGATTCAGATCAAATTATTCAAGTGCATTTCATGTTCTGGTCCATAAAAAATTGGGAGTGCGAGATATTTTTGTTTCTCTGCTTATTACTTGAAGACATTTGACACAGTGAACTTAAGATTATATTTCCCAATTTGCCTGCTAAAGGCACTCAGTTTGGATCCTTGATAAATCCTGGCTCAAATTGGCAGGTATATCAATAAAATATACCAGTTGACTTTGAGGCTGTCTTTTTATTGTAAATTACTTCGACAATCACAGATGCTTGCAACACAAAAACCTATGGAAAAGTATGTTGAATCCTATTTTTTATAGTGCTAAGACTAGTGGGGGACTTCAAAAGTTTGAAATACTCAATAATTTAAGTATTTGTGGCAGTCACAGATATTTGCGTGACTGTCATTTACTTCAACTAAACAATAAGCTATACAGTGTAATTAGTATCAGCAGTAATATTAGTCTTAGTTATTAGTGTCAGTATTTATTAGAACTCATAGTTATTAGTGTCAGTATTAGCACTTAGTTATTAGTGTCAGTATTTATTAGCACTTAGTTATTAGTGTCAGTATTTATTAGAACTTACTCAGATAACATTCAGACGTTGGCCCAACGTTGGCAATGGTTTTGCCAACATTGCCAACATTAGCCAACGTCCGAATGCTATTCGGTGAAGTTATTAGTGTCAGTATTTATTAGCACTTAGTTATTAGTGTCAGTATTTATTAGCACTTAGTTATTAGTGTCAGTATTTATTAGCACTTACCCAGATAGCATTCAGACGCTATCCCAATGTTGGTTTTGCCAACCAATGTTAAATAACGTCCGAATGCTATCCGGGTAGTTATTAGTATATAGTGTAATAAATACATAAACATAATAATAATGGCCACATGTGAGAGGGCGGATTATAAAAAGAAGTTAGTTTTATTATACATTTAGAATTGTTTTCATATTTGTAGAATTGGTCATGTAGTTGTGGAAAACAATAATGTGACGTACACAGGGTTTATCTATTGATTACGTTTTACACGCTGCAAGATGTGTGTAGATTTCATATCTTCTATATCTGGACAGCTGTAATTCAGGTTGTTCTATCATAAGTGACAGTATTGTGTAGTAATGCCAGCATTATATTTACATACAGTGATGCTATATTTACCTTATTCATATTTTACTGAAGCTAAAGTATATGATGTATGTGTTATACACACTTTGATTTGCATGTTAAATGAACTATCATGCTCTGGTTATGTTTTTATCTTATTCAATGTTATTGTGTATTTCAGGGTGTAAAAACAAAAATACAACTATAAGCACACTTACTCAGTCATCAATAAACTGAATCACACCCGTAGCCGTGTTGTCACCATTTTTGAAAGATGTCCCCATAAAGCTGCTACATGTTTGTCAAGTGTATACAGTATAGTATTAATAGTACATGCATAAACAAGGAATTTTGATTGTTTTCGATTGATAACAAAACACTGACTAAATCGTCTGTCCGTTAATACGAAACGTATATGGCGTGGATGTATCACTCTCGGTGTGACCAGTAAACTGTCATAACATTTTCGCTCGAATCAACCTTTACCCCTCCTCCTTTGTAGTAACCACCTTTCAGTTTCAGGTACTGTTTGACGCCAATGACGAATGCAAACCTACCCCTCCTCCGCTGAGACCGCCGATTCCATCAAACTGTCTTTCTAGTCCAACAGAATCGTCAAATATTACAACACCGGCAGATAATTCCACGAAAACCGCAACTGCAGCAAACGCGAGCGTTGCGAACATCATCTTCCTACACCGACTACTGCTACTGAATTGACTCTGGATTTTCACATGACAAGTCACATGATATTTGTCCTTGACCTTATGCCTGATCAAATGATTATTTTCGTATGATTTGCGTTACGTGTTTTTGATGATATCTGGGCTTATAAATTGATATTTAAACACTAATCGTGTTATAATAATATTATTGTAACGACTGCACTTGGTTTGAATTATATAGTATTGTGTCATGTCGCCATCAATTTGTACTGATTGCGGCTATTTAATGTATGTCAACTTTAAGCGCGGGAATTACGAACATACGTTTTCCCGAACAAAATACCCCCTTAATGTTCAGAATGTCAAAACGACAACAGGTTTCCTTGCTTAAATTCTGGATCTAGTTTAACATGAAGTAATGAATGCAGAATGAGTCAATGACCTGACAATATTGTACGCCCCCTAGATATAATCTATTTAGTATTGAACGGGCGTGATCGAAGGGCACCAGCATGGCACATATCTATATCACCGTAAATACTCGTATAAGAAACAAATTAAGTTGTTAATAAATTTGCTAAAGCACGGATTTCATTTCCTTTAAAACAATACCCTTGTTTATACCTGAAACACGAGCTATTTCAATGTTCAAATGCGTATTTTGCATTTATATTTACATTAAAATGTTGCCCATGAAAAACAACAACAATGGATAATATTAATTAATGTTTAGTTGAATTGGACTTGCGTTTCGAGAGCATCTTAGATATGTTTTGCACACATTGGAGGATCCCCTTGGTTTGTAATGTACTTTATGAATAACCAGTAAGACCCAGCTACATCCGTAATGTTAACCTGTCTCTACCTTTGTCTAAGAAACCCCCCAAAGTTACAACGCCAACATCATGATCACGAGGTGTATGTACGGTATTTTGAGATATGAGTTTGCATAACGCTGATTAACGACCCCTACAAGGATATCATGCGCTTGTTATCAAAGGTCAAACCGAGCGATAACCTATTTGTAAACGAGTATATTACAGCACGTGGCAAGACTCGTACGTTGCTTCACAGCGCTTACAATGATTAGTGGCATATACATGTACTGTACAGGTGAGAAATATAGCCTACAGCTTGATATGCGTATACGACACGTGGACAGTAGGCTGCTGCATCATATCCTCCTTGTTTTGAGTGTTGCAATCAGCCGGTTCGAAATTAACGTCGGTCCTCAGGCCCAAAGCCGACTGAAAACCACTCGGACCCACAGGTTTTGTTTTCCGCAGGTCCTTATGGCCTTGTTTGAGCCTACACATTCTGATCAGGACCCACAACTTTTATGGTTCTGGGACTTAGGACCAGCAGCTTCTCAGGGTTAAGGGCAAACACTGGTTGCATTATGAAGTAGGTACAGACAATATGTGTGGCCTATGAGATAGTGAGAAGACTAATCAAGGAGGCGACTGACGGGATCAGGTGGTCAGGCTCGCTGACTTGGTTGACACATGTCATCGTTCCCAGTTGCGTAGATCGATGCTCATCCTGTTGATCACTGGATTGTCTGGTCCAGACTCGATTCTTTATTCCATATAGCTGGGTTATTGCTGAGTGCTGCGTTAAGCAGAAAACCAACAACCTGTTCAACGTTCCTCTATACAAGTAGACGCATATACATGCTTACAGGAATACTTATAGTATGGAAATTCCCACAACACAGTGGAGCCTATCGATATTGAAAAGTGGTGTTTGATGTATAACCTCACACTTGCCAATATTCCAACTTTACGACTCCGGCTTAATAATCGAGTCTGAAGCAGACAAACCAGTGATTGACATCATGAGCAACTCCCCACGGGCTACGATGACATCCAGTCAACCACGTCAGCGACTGTTGAACTGACCCATCTGTTTGCTCCTCTGAGATATTTCAACTGCGGAATCTCAACGAGCAGATAAAACAGAGTACAACGTTATGTCTCCAAACACGATGCGTGGTGACAGGGTGACAGGGTGACAGGGTGACAGGGTGGTATTTCAAATCATTATCACGATTCGCCCCCACCCCACCCTGAAAAAAAGCAAACAAAAAAACAACAACCCAAACAAAACAACAAAAACAAAAAGCAAAACAAAAAAAACCCCCAAAAACAAAAAAACAACCCCAAAACAATAACAAAAACCAAAACCAATAAAAAACAACAGACAAAAAAAACAAAACAAAAAAAACATACTTATTAACATACCCCCACCCCCAAAACCCAACAACAATAAAATCCCTCCAAAACAACAAAACAAAACAACTACCACCACCACCCCAAAAACAACAAACATTAAAATCCTCGTTTCCCTCCCCCCACACCCACACACACACACACACACACCAAACAACTTCCACAGAGCTGTGTGTCAATGTGGTGCCCAAGTTCATTCATGGATAAACAAGAAATTGAAGAAATACAACATACAAGCATAACATACACTATTCCTGTCTAATACAGTCCTTCGACACCTTGTGACGTACAACTGGAACGTAACCAAGGTAAACAGACACGGTAAACAGTTTATAAAGATAGATCTTTTTAAACTTTAATAATGACCAAAAAGTCATTTCAGTGACAAGGCATGGAAAAGGGACATTTACTAGTTTACTTCACACGGGTTGTGAATAATTGACAGAAAAAGTAAAATCTTTACAAATAATTGCGAAATTCACTATAGACTTTCATATGAATGTGAATTAAACTTCCATTCAACAATTGTGTGTTTGGGGCAAGACTGACTAAATTCAGATGTTTTCGAGAAGAGATGTTCAACTCCATGATACAACCTGAGTTTCTTATGAGATAAGAACAGCGCAAGCATATACTAACACAATCATCTCGGGCCACTGATTTCTTCATATTACTTTGATATTGTCTTGAAAATCGAAAATATCCTGAAAAACAAAACATGCAAGTGTGAAAAAGAGAAAAGGGCAGCATGAAAACTGTCAGCCGTTACGTCTGGTCGTAGACCCAAGACCATCATCTGTTAGCGGACGAGGATAACTAAAAGTCAGATGTTCATATCTTTAACATCCTGAAACACAGTCTGAAAGGTGACACTGAAGAGATCAATATTTCTATTTGATGCGAATGTGAAACAGGAGATAAATCAACGAGTATTTGGTGTAGGCTATCCTGCTGATGATAACCTATATATCTACATAGATACTCTATCTTTGAAGATGCTGTTCAGACCCAGATCACATGACTGTCAGATTGTGTTAACAATGTATTTACATATTTTTGCCGTCTTTTTCTGTTTCGTAACTGGGTCTGGTGACCCCACCACCGGGAAATACATCATCGACGACACACCCGGCTATGGGCGTAGTTTCGACGGCATCGGAGCTATCAGCGGCGGAGGGGTAAGCCGATTGTTCATTCCCAGGCCGCATGCGACCCATCTCTGTCCCTACATGAGGATTATCGTTATAAGTCTGACCTTACTTTGGTGACTTTAGGAATGTGCAATCCTGAGGTTTGGACTCAAAACCAGATCCAGAGGGAGGTTGCAGGGGCGCTCCCCCCCCCCCCCTCTCTCCCTTTGTCCTGAAAGTTTGAAAGTTCATAAAATGACCATTGAAACTCTCGTGAAAACGGGTGAGAATGAACTGTGCAAAACCCCACCCCCACCCACACACACCCTTCCCAAAAAGCTGTATCCGCCCCAGAAATGAATGATGTTGTGTGTACATACATCAAAGTACAACCTGTAGCTATCAGAACAACCTTTATCGACAGTGATATTTATATTATATTGTTCTGATTTGATGACTTAATGTTTTCCTCCTATTACTTATGAACACCATTTAATATTCATTTCAACACGAAGGGTAAGTTTCCTGCTTCCCTGACAATGTTTGTATGCACATACACGAACACGTACGGATGGCAGGTCACGTGATGATCACCACGTTGCGTAAACCACCACGTGATGACATATGATCTTTTATGGTAGCTGTTGCAACTCTCTCTTTTAAACCCGTGAAGATCCGGGTTAGAACTGATCTTCAGTAACCCATGCTGGTATAACAGGTTATGGAGTGTGGTACCCATGAAGATCCGGGTTAGAACCGGTCTTCACCATTACCAACCCATGCTTGTCGTAAGAGGCGACTAACGAGATCGGGTGGTGAGGCTCGCTGACTTTGGTTGACACATGTCATCGGTTCCCAATTGCGTAGATCGATGTTTAGGTTGTTGATCACTGGATTGTCTGGTCCAGACGCGATTATTTACAGACCGCCGCCATATAGCTGGAATATTGCTGAGTGCGGCGTAAAACTAAACTCACTCACTCACTTTCTTTCTTAATTTGTCACAGGTTGTGTCAACAAACAGTTGCTGGTATTGTTAAGGCTTAATGACAGGCAATTGTGAACTTATGAGTTCTATTTAGAAGGGACGCAACTGGCATGGAAGCGTCAGATAAACTTTACCTTCATGATCAACTACTGTACATCTGAAACAAGGAAACCATCACTATTGGGTCGTATGGGTCATATTTGCCTGTGCTCCAATATTACCAAACAGTAAACGGCCAACATTGCATAATGATGGATTGTTAGAACTACACAGACACCCAGACATACATACATACATACATACAGACAGACAGACATACAGACTGAAAGAAAGACAGACACACACACACATACACATACGCACGCACGCACGCACACTCAGATAGCTCCTCACACAAACAGACATGTATGCATGCACGTGCACATACCTTCTTCTTTTCGCCAACACCCTGTATCGTTACTTTCTGAAGGCGAATCATAAACCTACAGTATAGCCGGAATCGTACAAGGCACAATGCATATCAGTAGACATGTCTTTTGACTCTTTTACTAACACCGATCCCTTTTTCTCCACAGGCCACATCCAAGCAGCTTCCTGGCTACATGTTCAAGTACCAGGATGAGATATTTGACTTCTTGTTCAAGGTAACAACAACACTCAAAGCGTCAACAGAATCGTCGTTCCATTATTTCTTCCTGTGTACTTACATGGAAGAAAGTCACAAATGGCATAAT